TTCCTTTGAGAGTCGCTGGAAAACACTTGCACCAAGTGGGATCATCCAACCCTTGAAGGTACATCAGGTTGGTGAATGCCATCAAATGGTCTTCTGGGTTAGTAGTGCGGTCATAGGCGCCTACTAATACATTTTTCACTTTGGCCGGCCGAGCGGCTTCAGTAATTTCCTTGGAGAAGGCCGACGGCTGTTCCCCAAGTCTAAGCAAACGTAGCTGCCAGTCCATAGGTTGGACATTCTTTGCTGCATGCCCTCCAAACAGAGGTGGCTGCAAAAAATATTGTTGTTGCGGTACAAATGGTAAGTTTGGTACCGCCGGGTCACTATGAAAGCCGGACTGACGGGAGGTACCGCCTAACTGACTCTCATGATGCGACTGAATACCTCATCGAGGTATTGCGTAGACTATCTTGGAAGCTTGAAGTAGAGGCCGACTCTGACAATCGGTCATTCTTCTTCTGCTCTAGCAATAGCCGAGCATCTGTGTATGTTTTCTTCGACCCGTCCGCCTGAATATGACAAACAGGTTTCCTCTTTCCTGGAGTAGGAAAGCGGTACTTTGTGAAATCAAGGACAGGCGGCTCCCACTTCCTAGAGTTAGGATGAGGGGTCGCCTCTCGCCCTTGAACAGGCTTCCTCTTCCCTGAAGAGGAAGGTTTCTTAGCCGACTGCTCCTTGGCCAGAGCAGGCGGCTTCTTGTTGAGCAACTCTTGAATCTCTCCCTTGAAGCCCCTCATGAAGGTCATGAGTTCGTTTCTTGTAATGGGAGCAGACCCATCAGCCGGCTGCTGCTGAACAGGCGGTGCGCCGGCTGGATCACTGAGTCCAGTTTGAAGATCTTCCTGTTCTCTCCTTTCGGTATGACGGGTGCCTTGGGCCCTTAGGGTCCCGTCTGAAGCTGTGTGAGCTTCAACTTCAAATTCTTCCTCAGTATCATGGTCCGACTGAACTTGAGGGTCGTCCAGGGGACGCCTCTCTTCAGGAGTCGGTACAGACGTGGATGCCATCTCAGAAGTACTCTCCCTACAGACGGCGCCAAAATGTTTCGGGGTTTTCTGATGTCCTGCGGGAGAGTTATAATTCTGAGACTGGAACCGGACGCTTGTACCTGCAAAACAAACGGATGCTCCGGACGATTGGAGATCCGCCTCCGACGATCAAGTTAGTACTTGATTAAGGAGTAATTAATGCGGAAATAAAAGTAATTGGGTCTCTCTAGGTGAGAGTGTTAAATGTGCGTCCCCCCCTTAATGAGGATTAATGGGCATATTTATATGCCTTGGGATGCGTGCCAGTACTAGGTTTAGGTTAAACCTAAGGCTGACTGGGCCTCCCACAATGATTGGGCCTTGTTGGCCGGTTTTCCCATTTGGCATGGGTGGACACGTGTCACATTGCAATTGGTCCAAGGAGGACGAATCTCTTGATGACACGTGGCAGGCTCCTATTGGCCTATATGAAGGACATGTGGCGAAACCTGGCTGGCCCACGTGTCGGATGCTGATTGGTGGATAAAAATCCCCTAATCAGGAGGCATTAGTGGCTGGGAATAAGGGGCAGCGAGGGAGGGGGGTCGACGCCGGCGCCGGAGGTAGGAGATCTGGGCGTGGCCGGCGTCGGAGGAAGGAGATCTGGGCGTGGCCGGCGTCGGAGGTGGCTGGTGGGTGGGGAATTTTTTTTAAAAAAAATAAAATAAAAAAATTAATAATATTTTAAAAATTAAAAACATTAAAAAAAAAATTTAAAACAAATAAAATTTCAAACCAATCAAACAATGACACGTGTTCATATAACCTGTTAATCAAGTTAATAACCGGTCATAACTTGTTTAAAACGAAGTACCCCTAAAGGTCGTATTGTTCTGAAATAAATAAAAGGTCAACTTGTTTTTAGCGGACGGAGCAAAGGTCATATTATTTAAAGCAATTTTTCCAAATATATATATGGAAATTGTTGCACTAAAAAAAACGCTTATAGACTTAGGCCCTGTTCACTTAGCTTGCTTCACCTTATTTATGCTGAACTGAAATTATTTTTAAGTGAAGTGAAATTATTTTTGCTGAACATAGTTCTTTTTGAAAGTAAGTGTGGTTATAGTATATAGGGTATAGGGTTAGAGACCTTAGAGTAGGGTTTAGGGTTTTGAATTAAGGTTAAGTGTTTAGAGTTTAGAGAGGTTAGATCACAAGAAATATACATAATGTTACATTAAAAAAAATGTCAATCACACATAGGGATATCAATGGGGCAGGAAAGGGCGGATGTTGGCCTTCCCATCCTCATCCTCGCCTAACTTTCTCATCCCCATCTCCGCGGTGGGTCCAAAATTCATCAACATCCCTACCTCGGTAGATACAATTCATCCACAACCAAAGTCTCGTACTTTTTATAGATTAATGGCACTTCCACTGAATGGTTTAAACCATAAGAGGCCTACGACAAGGAGATCCTCTACTTTCTTACCCCTTTATTCTTTGTATGGAAGTTTTAATAAGAAAACTTTCTATTGAAAGTCTAAAAAACAAAGCTGGAATAGGCTTTAAAATTTGCCCATGATCCTTTAATATCCCTTGTCTCTTATTTGCAGACGATAGCCAAGTTTTCTGTAAGGCCACGACTAGCTCTTGCAATAGATTAAAAGCTCTGCTCGAGGATTTTGGAAAAACTTCAAGTTAATTAATCAATTTTCATAAATCGTCAATTATTTTCTCGAAGAAAATTCCAAATTTAAGGCAAACCGAGTTAGCAAGCCACTTTAACATGACTCCCAAGTCATGTTTTGGTCATTACCTTGGAGTACATTTTAGTTCTTATTTTTCCAAGAGGGGGAAGACTACAAGCTTATATTCTCCAAAAGACTGAAAAAAGAATTCAACATTGGGAATTTGGTTTTCTATCAAAAGGTGGACGACATACCCTAATCCAAAGCAAGTTAGAGGCTTTACCCTCCTACTTGTGCTCATCCTCTCTTTTGCCAAATGACATTGCAACGTAGTTAGATTCCTTACATCGAAACTTCTTTTGGAGACAACAAAAAGATAAAAATAGTATTCCCCTTATAGCATGAGATAAGATCTGTAGACCAAAGAGCGCTGGAGGCCTTGGCCTTCGTCAAACCTTACCGCTTAACAAAGCTTTTATCGCTAAATTAGGTTGGAAAATTATGGCAGACCCAAATAATCTTTGAAAGAAAGTCATTAAGGATAAATATCTTCACAATTCATCCTTTTTAAAGTGCAAACACAGTGTGAAAGATTCTCATATATGGAGAAAAATTCTTGCTCGACATGAACTTTTGAGAAAAGGTAACTGTTGAAAGATAGATGATGGCAAAGATATTTTTTTTGGATCGATAATAGGGTGGCTAACCAAAGCCTTTTAGAGCTCATCCAGATAGATGTCAATCAAGTTAATCTTGATACTAAAGTATCAGACCTTATTTTACCCAATAAACAATGGGATAGACAAAAATTAAACGCTTCTTCCTGAAAACATCACAGCTCAAATTATGGGCATTCTTCTACCTCTCAATGATATGATGGACAAACCTGTTTGGGGACTCACTACGCATGGAAACTTCTCAGTTTAGTCAGCCAATAAGCTTGCACATAATCTCAATCCCCGAAGACAATAATTAGCTCCATAGATAGATTTGGGAAATATCCCTCCCAAACTCCAAGTTTTCCTTTGGCAAATATTTCATAATAGTGTAGGTGTTCGTGACACTCTTCATAATAGAAACATTATCCCATTCGACATATGTCCTTTATGCAATTAGCAAAATGAAACAGTTGATCATCTTTTTCTCAACTACACTAGAACCAAAGAAGTGTGGAAACTCCCCTTATCAAAAAAGTGGTTAGATTGCTCAACCTCGTTTCTAAAACTAACAGAAACATTAATGTACTTAAGAAAACACCCAAACACTTTAAGGAAATTTGTCTTCCTCATTTGGAGTATTTGGAAAGAGCGGAATGCTATTATCTTCCGTAATGAAACCTTTGACATCTTAAGGATTTACCATCGATCACAATTTGTGTACAATGAGTGGCACCAAATTAAAGAAGCCTCATAGATACCTTTTCCTCCACGGGAACTCCCATTCTGAGATCCCATAATCATTATTCTCATACTCAATCCCCATCATCCATTCTTATATCATGGAAGATGCCTCCCAACAACTTCTTCAACCTCAACTTCGATGGTTTGGTTCGTAACAACTCAGCAGCAGCAGGAATCATCATCAGAGATAGCAGCGGAGCACTCATCAAGGCATCTACGTTCAACCTTGGCAACCCCAAAGTATTTATAGCAGAAGCTACAGCTCTTCATAAAGGAGTCCTACTGGCTCTTCAATGTGGCATTCAGAACATTGAAATTGAAGGTGATAACCTATTAGTCATCAACTCAATAAAAGGCATTTGGGCGGTACATTGGCAGATCGAGCATATAATCGAAGACACTCGTTCTCTCCTTTCTCGGTTTCGCAATTGGAGTATCCAGCACGTCTACTGAGAGGCAAAACGCGCAGTAGATTGGATAGCTAATGTGGGTCATTTAGTATATAGTAGTATGGATATTGATGTTTGTAATAATTCTAGTTTGTTTTCTATTCCTTCTTTCTTATACATTAGGAATTCCCCTCGTGAGGAGGGCTTCCTAATGTTTAATTTTTTATTACCTTTTCACAAAAAAAAAAAAAAAAAAAAAAAAAAAAAAAAAAACCGCACCCGCCTCACTTAGATATCCACATTCCACCCACCTAATCCCCACCCAAAACCCGCCAAATCCCCGCCTCCTAAACACAGATAAGACTATATACAAGAAATAAAATAATAAATAAAATAAAAAAGATAGAGAATCTAGATATGATATGCAATGTACTCCACTAACATTATATAAGCATAAGACCCCTTAAAAAAAAAAAATATATATATATATATATATATATATATATATATATATATATATATATATATATATAAGCATAAGATAATTAACTCTGCCATTGCCATCTTTAATAATCCATCAATGGAGATAAACCCTACAAATATTACCCTCAGGCAATTCAAAACCACAGATGTTGATGATTTTATATTATGGGCAGGTGATGAGCAAGTTACCAAACATTTGGTCACGTGGAAAACCATCACTTCCAAGGAAGAAGCCTTGACTTTCATCAAGGATGTTTGCTTACCACACCCTTGGAGGAGGTCCATTTGTATCGATGATCGATCGATAGGGATGATCTCGATATACCCTGGCTCGGGCGATGATAGATGCCGGGCACACGTAGGGTATGCAGTGTCTAGGGTGCATTGGAACAAAGGGATAGCTTCAAGAGCTTTGAAGATGGGCATGAATCAGGTTGTTGAGGATTACCCTGAATTGGTTAGGCTGCAAACTTTGGTTAGTGTGGAAAATAAGGCTTCTCAAAGGGTTTTAGAAAAGTGTGGTTTTCTCAAAGAAGGATGTTTGAGGAAATACAGCTATGTTAAGGGCCAAATTAAAGATGTTTTTATTTATGGTATTCTGTCAACAGAATTTCCATCAGTTGATCAATAATGAACTATTTAGAGTCTGAATTTTCCATAGTTCTTTAACATTTGTTAACTTGTCATCAGTTTCTGTTTTATTTAGTATGTTGTATCTGATAAGTACTCATCAAAAATACTTAGTATTATTTTAATTTCGGCTTACTTATCAGTTTTACTAACCTTGCTTGGCAAACATATCAGTTGACATACTTGTTTTCGTAGTAACCCTTTCGAAATGTGCCTTCAAATTGAAGATAATACTATGCAGCTAAGCCAGTTTGTACAAATCATTTTGAATTGCAGCTGCAAAGGAATTCTATCAGAAGAGAAGCATATTTTTATTCATTCATTTCAACAAACTTAGAAGTATATTGATTTGTATAAACAAAAAATACAAGTAGAATTTTTTTCACAATTTCTCAGGCTTAGTAAGTTAATGCCCACTAAGGGCTTACTTTTACATAATTACATTAATATTCCTCTTATCTCCATTACATGAACTGCGAGCCCTTGATAACAGAGGAACACAATTAGCAAGGACAAACTCATAAATCAAGCAGAAGTATTTTTTTTTTTTGGTGATAAATGAGTTGATTAGCATACATGGAAATGCTTGTTCCATGTTATATTTCATAAAATTAGGTATAGCCATATAGGCGTATAGACATACATATATACAAAGTACATCACTATATTTGCATCAGAAGCTATGCACATCTCTGTACAAAATTTGCGGCTGACATTCCCTTCGGACTGCTGTGGCTCCTGTAATCGAAATATAATTACTACTTACATTGACAATGGAAAACTGCCCCAGGATGCCTTATATCAATTTTTTTCCTATTCTTATGTTTAGTACTTTTCTTTTCCCCTGCATCATATTTTACTTTTGCTAAACCTTATCCACAACTACATCCAAGATTATGAGATCTTTATTCACACTTGGCAATCAAGGCGTTGAATTTACAGAAATCTCATGTTGGGTCACTGAACTTTGCTGGTCAACATTAGACGGGAGAGCAAGATGCTGCAAGGACTTCAGGGCTACACAAAGTTGTGCAAATGAAGGGCGCAGGTTCGGCTCCCTGGAAATTTTAACATTAAATGAGTTCAAACGCATAAATTTGACCCTGAACTAATAGATAGAAACACCTTTAATACAAGAAAGAACATGGAGATGGGGCTGGCGAACATATAGGCAATAGAACTTACGTTTGCCAACATTCCAATATTATCCTAGCAACCAAAGGATCAAGTTCCTTGGAGATGTCTAGGCGCCGATTCTGGAAACCCACTGCGCCCACAACTTGCATCGGGTTCATCCCACTCCAAGGCAATTTAAGTGTTGCAAGCTCCCATAATATCACTCCAAAGCTATATACATCACATCTGATGTCCAACCAGAACAAGATTTAACTCAGTCATTATTAACAAAGGCATTTTTTTTTTTATTAGGAATAGTGCAGTTCATCTATCTTGGACAGGTTCTCACTCGAAGCATTCAATCATATCTTCAATTGCAAGAAGAAAGCTAACATTCTACAGTAGCACTGACTTCTTATATGCATCTTATGTTTTTAAATAAGTGCAATATTTTGGCACAAATATAAGGTGTGCATTTGTTTTAAAACACCCAAACGAGAAAGTGTGGCACTTATGTAATAATAACAGGGAGAACCTTTTTTTTTTTTTTTTTTTTTTCCCACATGTGTGTGTGAGGACCAGAGGGGGGGAGAGGGTGGTGAGTTGTAATGAACTGGTGTTTACTGCTTACTTACGCAAATAACAGTAAAATTATAGAGAAAGATTGGTTCTTTGAATAATGTAAAGAATCTGATTTTTGTAAGTTGCAAGAAATAATAAAGATGAAAGCTTTAAAATTGATTGATAATGGTGGAAGGGTTACAAAACATAGGTTATTAGTTTGAGGCTATCACTCTCCAAAATGGCTTGAGGCCATAACTCTCTAGGTTTTCCAACACAATATTCTGCCTACCATTTTCTTTCCCCTCTTTGACTATTTATACTAAGGACAATTAACTCAGTAAACTAATATTACCAAAATACCCATACTACCCCCTCCTTAGGCTAGTCTATTACATGAGTGTGATTGGTTTTGCAGATATATACTAGGCAACTAGAGCAGAGGTGAATACATAGGAGAAAGAAATGCAATCAAGCAAGGAACTTACTTCTCATTTGATGGTTCATTTCGAAGCACTTCAGGAGCCATCCATTCAGGCTATTACAACAAAGAGTCTCTTTGTTAGAGTAAGATAACATACATACCAAAATAATATTTTTTTTAAAAAAGGTTCAACTTTTAACAGCAAGGTTCAATGCTCTTACAGTTCCAGCAGTTGATTTAGATGACAAAAATGTATTATGCTTCAGCCTTGACAATCCGAAATCACAAACCTGCAGTGACAAATTCTTGTTACTAGAGTGATATTACTCTGGGGTGCCGGGGGGGTGGTGGGGGGAAATGTCAACCAAAATTTAGACTGAAAAGGCAACTCATTGAAATTTCCAAATTACCTTCACATTCCAATTCTTGTCAACTAGTAAATTAGGCGACTTTAAATCACGATGCACAATTGTTGGTGTACTTGTATGCAAGCAATTCATGCCCCTCGCCTGCGAGCAAGATGATTGTCAAAGGTATACTTCTATGGAAACCAACATAGTGGAAAGTGAAAGAAACATACCACATCAAGTGCCATTTTTATTCTACGCTTTTCGTCAATCTGACAATTTGGACGATGAAGTATCCGGTACAAGCTTCCTCTACAAAGCAGGAAAAAAAAAATCACATACAATTACTTTCTACCATAATGGAAATAAATGAATAATTTGTGATATTATATCTGCACCCTCACCCCACTCCCCTGGGGTCCCCCAATGCAGATAACAACACATGGAAAGCTGATCAAAAGCATGCAAGAATGTTTCAATTAAGCTGCATAACTAAAGGTGCCAACGAAGCAACAATGCAAAGTATATTAAGTCAAAAAATATCTAAATTATAACCTCCCCCCCCCCTCTCTTTTCTCCCCTCATAGACCTAACCTAAATAGCAATCAAGTAAAAGACAGGGAGCCTAAGAACTTTCTTCTCAATCCAACCATCAGCAGAAAAATCGATTCCCATTTCTCCAAATGCTATATAGGTCATAATATATCTGTTTTAAACCGCATGAAATACAGAACTAAACTCCAGCTAAATTACAATCTCTAGCCAGGGGTTAATTAAGAAAAACAAGCTGTATAAACAGCTATTATACACTCCTTCCATCCCTAATTGTTCGAGCACTTTCCTTTTTTCTCCGTCCCTAATTAATTTGAACACTCCTTATTTGGAAAAGATACCAAAATTATTCTAATACATCTTTCTTTATACTACCAAAAAGTCAGTCACTCTCTCACAATAAACAAAAACCATAACCCATTATCTTCTATCACATCTACTTATACAATAAAATAATATTTCATCATCTCCAGTCACACCCGCTTTCCTATTATATACTCCATTTTCATCTGTTTCTAATTAAGTACAACACTTTCTTTTTTCATCCATTTCTGATTAATTGCAACACTTCTATATTTGTTAAAAGACCACTATTATTTTATTATTTCTTTCTCCCACTAACCCCAATTTCACTACTTTTATATTATTTCTCTCTCCTACTACCAACTAAATATACCCCCACCAACTATACTTTATAGTTTATACCATAAAATCCTCTATGCGTCAAGCCTCTGTTGCGATTAATCCAAAACAGAGGGAGTAGTAATTAATAGCATCTAAATAACAAATCACATTAAACTCCATGCCCAAAAAAGTGTTCAAACTATTCTTGGAAGGAGGGAGTATCTTGATAATTATCAACGGGTTTCCTAACTCATTGAGATAAACAGAGTGTCATTCAAAGAAAAAAGTTTTATAAAACTAGATATAGAATTATTAATGTCATAATGTACAAAAGCATGACAAAACCTAATTATTCCGTCAGTTCCTTAGAGTTCTTCCCTACCTTATTTCTTTTTGCCTTCCCTTACACCCCCCACCCACCCACTCAACACATGGGTCCACTATTGGTAATATTCATGTCTTTAACACCCCCCTTACACCCCTTACCCCCCCCCCCCCACTCAACACATGGGTCCACTATTGATGATATTCATGTCTTTAACAACTATCTATGTACTATCCAATAAGTCAAAAGAAGATCCACTTTCCCAAAACTCTAGGAAGAACTCAAAGAACCTAAGGGAAAATATTATCAGAGCATATATAATTTTTGTATATGTAACAAAGTTCGTTCCCTTTTTAGGGATAATACTTATGAACCTCATATACTCGTAACAAATCCATTAATCTACCCGATCAGTGTTCAAGTTCAGCAGGTGAAGTAATTCCATAATTCAGGTATTTTATCATTTCGTTTGTTTCTTCGTTAATCGTAACCAATTGACCAGAGACAGCAAGGGATATACTATATCAAACCATTAAATCTCATTTGTATGTTTTGGGGTGATTTTACTTCTTTTTAAAAATCAACAACTGGCATAAATCATCATTATTTAATATCCTGAAATTCGACTTCCACATTTTTATGTTAAAAAACTAACAAAATATGTTATAATAAAAACCCTTATGGCAGGAGTTTAAGTTAATTATAAATAAACACAATTTCTTTAAACTGTTTCAAACTGACATTCCCCTGTTTCAAACTGTTTCTGAAATGACATTCCCCTGTCTCAAACTGTTTCCGTAAACTGCCATCTTTGTGTTTTGGCTTATGTTCCATTCATTTTGGTTTCCAAGCTATATTGTTTCCTAGCTAGATAACCTTTCATAATGCCACCTATGTAAACAGAGATAAAACAGCAATACCTTGGAAGAAATTCAGACACAATTGACAGGTGTGGTGGGCGAGTAACGGCGCCCATAAATAAGACAACGTTGGGATGGCGCAATCTGCGCATTATACGGACCTGTAATTGATGGGTAATGTAAAGAAATCAATTCACTGCCAATTAAACGAATATATGAAACGCTCATAATTAGCTTTAGAAATACAGCCACAAATCTATAAGTTTGACATAATAAGAACAAGCAACATTATTTTACATGAACAAAATTATGTAATGCATCTGAACATTATTTTACATGAAAAATAATTAAAGATTTCAAGTCCAATTGTCCGAAGTTCAGATAATGACAGCTTTTTTTTGGGTGTGTGTGGGGTGGAGGGGTTGCAACACAAACTTAGGAAGCACAAAGTTCTAAGGCAATATACTTGTTTAAAACTTTCACATGCCACCTTTAGTTTTCTTACTTCGGAATCTAAAAAAACCCCCTTCCCTTCACCCACTTCATAACATGAAACATTGTACTAGTACTCTTAGTGGAAAAAAAAAATTCGCTGCTCCCATAGTTTTATGTTTTTATATAGTGAAAGATCATAGTAGAAAAAACAAAGTAACAACGAAAGATAATATTTCAAGCAGGTAGATGTAATACTTGATTTTATGCAAAAGTAGCATCGTACTCACCTCTCTTTTAAACTCTGCTAAGGCAGCCCCAGAGAAATCCTGGTCCAAGAATTTCTTGACAGCAACTTCCTGAAGTGCAGAAAGTGCAATGAAAACTTTAAAGTTCTTGGATTTCTCAGACGAAATATTAAAGCTGCATCCCAACTGCAACGAAGAAAGGACTACAGACCAACGCCATCATCATAGCAAGGCAAGATCATTAGCGTGAAAAGCATAAATTATTTTTAAACAAATCACCTGCTCATCCGTAGTATAAAATTTGAACAATAGATCACATTTAGAACTCTCAAAAAAAAAAAAAAAACTTCTATCAGATTGACTTCAAGAACAATAAACATAGTAACATCCAACCCTAACTCTTGGGTCAATTTAACCCAAACTCAAGAAGAAAGGCCTTAACCCATTCACCCATTAATTTATGGAAACATTGAAAAAACCAAAAAAATTCTAAACCTGGGTAATTCTCAGAAAAATCACAATTATGTATCTGTATTATTGTATAACACTATTGAACCCAAAATAACACCATTAATCATGTTTGAGTAACTTGATAAAGTGGCAAAAAATGTTACGGAGTATGTTTTCAACATGAGAAAAAAAAATTATTTTATCAAATAAATAGATAAATAATGGTCAAATTAGCCAAGAACACCCTTCCAGTCATCCTTTCCATCTCCTTTACCTTAAATTGAAGCACTCTACATTCTTTAATCAAATAACACAAGCTTCTCCCCTTCTCTTAAAATTTCAAAAAATTATTTGTTGCCCTCACCAAGTTTGAAATTTCAAGGCACTTCATATAAAAAAAAAATTTTTTTTTTTTTTTAAAAACAAAAAAAAAAAAAAAAAGGCTTGACAAACAAACCAACCAATGGCTTGCCTCATTTTTAAAGAAGACAAGGTAGCTCAATTATTACATTGCCAAAAAAGTCAATTTGTGGAATTAGAGACATACTGCAGGAAAGGGTGTGGGAGATTTTTTGGCTTCTTTTTTAATTTATCTTAAAACAATACTTAGCCACATCATCAAAAGTACTAATGACATAACTGATGGTTATACTCAGTTTTATTGTTTTTTATTTTTATTTTTTGGGAGACCAATACTGTATGCCTACTTGAGCTTGGGTGAAAGTTTAATCAAATAAGGATTTAGATGTGTCCAAAAAACCTCAAAATCTCTTAGTAAGTTAGTAGCTTTGGGGTTGAGGTGGGTATACTGAAAAAGATGAAATACTAATTTAAAGATCATATTTGGTTCAATTGTCCATTTTAGTGATATGTGAATTTTTGTCACTTTACTCACATAATTACAACTTCCTCATAAATAATGTGTATAATATCGATAATCTCGTAATATTCTAGCAACATTTTTGGGGGGTGGGAACTGGGAAGAATAAGTGTGACATTCATAATGTAAAAACTAAAGGAAACAAATACAGAATCATAAAGAATAAAATGTCTTCATTCATGTCATAATGTAATAGTACACATGTGCACATTCACAATTTTCAGAAACTAAATTGCTATCAACTTTGTTTAGAGAAAAAATAGCTTCATCAAATAAAATTTAATAATAAATTATACAGAATAAGTAACAACTCCACAGCAAGTTCATTCAGCATTTTACTCAAGGCAATATAAAAAAACACCCTAGTAGACACTAGGCAACATTTCCTATTGATTTGAATAATTAGTTGTAGACATCGTATAAAAATAAAAAAGTCAACTCCTTTTCCTTACTGGTGTAGCAGTATAGAACTTACCGTGCCATTCCAGTCTGCATGGTAGACTTCCCCATATGAACCTGTTGTCCAGCATAAGCAAAGAACAAATCAAACGATGGAATGAAAAAGAATAACTCAAGGAAGAGCATTCCACTAAAACAAAAAAAAAAAGAGAAAACGAAGGCAATCAACCTATAGACTGGTGAACAATAGATCAAATTGAATTAAGGCCTAAACATAAATTACAGCTAACAGATAAGCGCCAAAGTCAAGAAAAGGAAAGATGTTGGAAAAGAACATAGAAGACTAAGCTAATCCATACAATTACAAACAATATCTTAGACGAGCATGTAACCCAGTATAGAAAATTGATTTAATAGCAATACTCTCAACTATAGCATGATAGAAAATAAAAAAAGTTTATACCTAATCCAATCCTTTCACCTAAAACAAGGTCTTCCCACAGAATTTCACATTCACCCACATCATCAAGCACTTGATCAACTACCTTTCCATCGGCATCCACTGGTCTCAGACTAGAATCATTTAATATATATCCTGTTCCTATAAATCCCTCAGTTGTGCACTTGGCACCACCAGTACCAACTCTTTTGCAATCATTTCCCTGACCAAGCATGTCACCAGATGAGGTTGCTTCCTTCAGGGAATCTTCCATTTGGGAGGCAATCCCAATCTCCACTGGAAGAGGTTTATCATTCTGACCATTGCCAGGACCAGCAGTTGTAGCAACATTAACAGAGCTGCCAACATTGACATTTACACCATTCAGAATTGGACTCTCTAACTGAGAGCCATTTTGGTAAACATTTTCAGCAGCTGATGAGCTGGATGTAGTTGCTGGTGCCATTCTGGAATCCTTGTTTCCATGGTTACTTCTTGGGAGAAGACTGTCAACTAAATCACGGTCTTTATTCCTGGGAACATAGTTGACAGCCTGATGGTTTTTCCACATCATGGGAGAAGGGGGTTTTCTGGAGATAGCATCATTCCTAAATCTCTGGGACTCATCAATTTCATATTTGGGTTTGATTTGCGGTGCAGCTTGCCCAGAAACTCGTAAATGGAATGGATTAAGTTCCGCAAAAAGATTTCTTGAGTCATCAGTATTACCTTGATTATAGGGTACTACATTAACATTCAACCTAGAACCATCACCTACTGCAAGGGCTCCGCGATGTGGTTTGAACAAAGACGCTCCCACTGCTGATGTTGACGGCAAATCTAATTGACTGTTTGGGTTTGGTTGGCTGGAGGCTCTAGAAGGGCCAGCACCCATGTCATTGCTGGTGCTTGATGAAAAAGGCAATGATTCTGTCTTTCCAAAGACTGAATTCCGACCAAAATGAGAATTATTGTCAACAGGAGAGCCCCCACTTGATCCTGAATTAATGGGCTTTGGTCTCGCACAAGCAAATTCAGAGTCATTTGATGGCTGGACAGAGGGGATCTTATTTAGTTTGTGGTTGTACACTGGAACAGTAGATCCCTCCACACCTAATACATCAGCAGGTATTAGTGTTCCTGGGGCTGCCATGAGATCAACCAAAAATTCCCTGTGTAATTTAGCAGATAGTTAAATGGGAAAAGGCGGAGACACAAGAACTACTATGCATTGCAATCAGTTAATTATACAGTTTTTTTTGTTTTTTTGTAAAAAAAAAAGGCTAGATGTTAGAAGCAGTTCCACTAACATTAAAGAATGTCCAAGTCAAACTGAGTGCTTTTAGGATTCTAAGAACCTTTTCTAAGAAAACTTACAATACAAATTCAATTTCTGCTCCTGTCCTCCACCATCCCCCACATAAACTACCCATGTGTCTCCAATGATCCCACTATTAACCCTTCTTCCTTGATGACCACGCAAAAGCAAGTGGGAAGAATAAATCATGGAGAGAATAGTAAGCTTACAGAGCTACTTAAAGAGCACTTGTAAAAAAAATGCAGCTACTTAAAGAGCTATAAGCTTAATTTAAAGAAGCTTGAGATTTCTTTCAATTAATCTTTGAGCTTGATTAAATATGAGACTGAATGCAACAATACTTCATCTTTTTTTTTTTTTTTTTTTTAAATTTGGGGGGGGTGGGGGTTCACAGCTGACTAACAATAAGCTTTTGAACCACAATTCCTATATATAAAGGGATATATTGCTGAACTTATAATTGCCATTCACTCGATATATATTCTTCAGCTATTTTCAAAACAGAGTTTAGAAAGCTTAATTTGTCACCAAATGAAGTCAGCAAGTTCATATAATAACATATAAAAGTACTACAATCCAAGAAGAACATGTGTTACAATGCATATGTAGGAGTATTTGATATGGAAAAAAAAATGATTGCATCGACAGCATACTTATAATTACCTATCGTCAGCCATCTTAATTAAGTTGATCGCATCATCTTCAATGCCAGTGTAATGACTTCCCTTCACAAGTCTACACTTTATACCCACATTATCGGCTAATACCTACAAGTTAGGAAATTGTACAAAGCAATTAAATTGAGTAAACATGTATATACATCCCAATTGAATGCTGATGGAGCATTGATTTCTCTGCACTCAGCATAAAAAGGGAAGGATGTCTTTGCAGAGTTGAGATTAAGTTTATGAAATAGGACTCCTTATATTTTGTGTCTAGTGGTTCCTTATATATTGGGAAATTCCTACCACCTTTACCTAGGTTTCAATAAGTTCATGTACAGGGTTACTGTCAATAGCATCAAAGACAATTGTGCTAGATTTAAATAAATAGATCACCCAGGTTAATCTAACGTGGTGCAACAAAATCAAAGAACATATTGAATCAACATCAAGAAGTAGGTAATTTGTAATCCATTCACTAACCTTAAAGAGCAAAGCCCGATGGCGTGACAGGCCAACTCTTACAGAGCCAATAGGAAAAACACTTGTATGTAGAGATGTTCTCAGTTCTGTGCTGATCTCCATCCACTTTGCCAACACAATCCCTGCATCCCTAACCGGTCCTCCCATGTGTTCTGTCACAAGTTCAGCAACCCTTTGAACCAAAGTGCCAACCTCGGATGCAGGACAGTCTAGTGCAAAACAATGTGCAATTTGCTCCAACTCCACAAGTGTCGGATCAATTGTTCTATTGACTATTACAGCCTCAAATCCGGAATCACCAGCATTTGTTTCAAGGTCTACAAGAGAAGGCATCTTTCCTTCGACTGTTGGATCCACTGAAATACTAAATATATCATAAAAACCATCGACCACCTTCTCCTCATAATCAAGTACATTGTAATCCTGGTAAAGCAAAATTTCAATTTCAGCACACCAAAAACAGCAGCATATATTGTCATCACCGAAAATAAATAAAATCTCACTATTAAGCACTCATTAGAAGCAAATATTCATATCTACTGCTATACAAGCAACTAAGCAAGAGTTAAGAGCTTCAGAGCTTCCTTCACATGCATGAATTTCCTAGAATAAAAAAGGTGATTCAAATTTGCCTACAACCCAGCCCGATACACTCACCTTTAACCTTTTACTAGAATAAATCTGACAATGGAAACTTTAAGCTCCTCCTTCGGTTACCAAAAATAATAACCAATGTTACTATCATAAGGTGCCAAAAAATTATGATACATTCAATTTAAAGTGATTTACAATAGTATTTTTCAAGCATCCCCTCTTCAATTCACTAGTATGACCCAAAAGTCAAGACCAGAGATGGCAGGGGGCAGTGGGATAGAGGATGAAGAAGCAAGGAGGTTTTAAGTGAAGTATCACAAAGAGTTTATGGTCAAAATACATAAGTTCTTAGCTATGAAGGAGCAATGTGATTATTATTCGTGGATGGAAAGTGATCAAAGTGCATATTTTAAAATCACTGAGATAACCAACGTCCCTACTATCTACCATAAGCAAAATTAATTGAAACTAGAAACACTATGTTCATTAGGTCCACAAATACAAATCGTAACTTTAAACTTAGATTGAATTACTACCCACAATATAATTTAGGATTGCGATTAAACATCCCATCTCAATCATAGTCCCAAGAAAAATATAGGCATTGAAGATTTATCTTCCTAATTATAAAAAAGTTGAATGCTTGCCAAATACAAACAAATTGGCAAAACTAATAGCTAATACTACTCCCCCCCCCTCCTCCTCCCCCAGCCCCGGCCCCGGTTTCATTTTGGCAAATCCTTCCTAATGAGATAGTGCATCAGTTCACTCTATATTCAAAAAGACCAATAAATTATACTTCCTCAGTTCTATTAATATTGCAACAAGGATGAAATTACGCATCCCAAAGCACATTTTATATGCTAAATATCTATAATTGTGTAAGAGTAAAAATTATAAAAAGTTGATATTGTGAAAGTATTGGATCTCACGTGACTATATTTTGCTTAACGTATAAATCATATTATATGGTCAAACAAGAGTGATGAATAGTGCAAAAAGTCCATTGTTGCAATATTAATAAAACGGAGGAAGTAATTAATTCAATATCCTACTCTAACTTTCTTCGATTTCAGCAGCAACAACACGATAACACTAATATCCACAAGGTCAAAACACAGTTCATTCCAACAACAAATTACACAAATTAAAACAACAAGTTCCTACATTTCATCATCAATTAACAATTCCACAATCAATTTTCCCCAAATAAAATTAATCAAATTCACAAACTCACCCAAAACCGCCGCGACAAAGCCTCACCAGAATCCTCCTTATCTCGACCATTATCAATAGAATTAGACCTCCCCAAACTCAACAGAGTAGCAGCACGGATCTGATCATTCTCCGGATCATCTCGAAACTCCGAATTGGAAGCACTAATCGCCAAAGCAAGCTGCATCTGAAATTCCTCCTCAGAAGAAAAGTAATCCCCTTGCCGAAGATGATCATTCTTCATCGCCGGCAAGTTTCCGACACCGGAAACCTGCGAATTGCCTTGATCGGTGGTTACAGATTGCGATTGCACCGCCATCGACGACGACGAAGAAGTAGAAGGTTGAGATTGAGATTGAGATTGAGATTGCGAAGATGAAGTTGAAGAAGGAGGAATTAGGGTTTCATTGTTAGTACGATTAAGGTCATGACTTTTGTGAAGCTTCTTGAAAATGTGCTTCATTTTTGCTGCTGCTTGTTCTTCGTTCTTTGGTGATGTTAATGTAGTTTTACTTCGCTAATAAGAATGAGTTTGTTTGTTTGTGTGTTGTCCTATATAGTGTGTGGAAATGCTAACTAGATTTTGGTGATAGAGGAGAGAGAAAGTGTCAAGCAAGGAGTGTTTTTTTTGTTTTAGAAGAGAAAGTGTGAAGAAGGTGAGTTTATTAACTTTGTTAGAGAAAGAAATGGGATTTTTTGCATTTACACGGTTGATGAAAAAAATACTACGTAGTTATAACTTATAAATGAATACAACATAAAAGTGTAATTTGATATAATATACGTATCTAATATAATCTAATATCATATATCACTAATAAATAAAGTCAAATGTCACGCCATGTAGGAGATAAACAAGTATTATAGAAGTTACTCGATCAATTTTATATGGGTTACTTTGTCCGGCCAAATGGTGTGGTTAGCTGCATACAAAATGCATTGTTATTTAATTTATTTAAAAAAATATTAGATAATCAGTTAAATAAGTTTTAATCAAAAATAATTTTAAATGGTAAAATACTTTAAGTTCACTGGAAATATTTTAAGTTCAATAAAAATAATTTCAAGTCAATAATAACGAAGATATCTATTTACAAACAAAACTACACAAAGTACACTCCATATGATATCGTAAATCTAAATATCCTATATTATCAGAACAAATTATTTGACCGTATTTAACATTCAAGTAAAAATGTTATCTTAAAATTTTATCAGCCATCTGACATCGCCCGGACACAAAACTAATATATATATATATATATATATATATATATATATATATATATATATATATATATATAAAGGGGAGTTTTTTCCCGAGTTTTTAGAGCGCCATGTAGGATTTTATTTTTTAAAAAATTATTAGAGCGCCACTTAAGATTAATATTTTTAAAACGCTACAATCAGACTATGCCACGTAAGATTAATTTTTTTTTAAAGCGTTGCGTAGGATTATAATAAAAAAAAACGCCACGTAGGATTAATAATTTTAAAACGCTACAATAGGATTATGCCACGTAAGAAATTGTAGAGCGTCACATAGGAAAATGTTATATTTTAGCCCATGAAAAAAAAAAGCATTGCAACTTATTTTAGATCAAAAATTTTATATTAATTACAAAAATAAAATCAACGTGTTTTTTGAGTGGCTGACCATATTGTGTGGCCGGCTGAGACACACCTAAACACTGACCGAGTAACCCCTGACCGTCCGAGTAACCCCTGACCATCCAAGTAACCCTTGATCAACCAAGTAATCTCGACCACACGGTGTGACCGGATATGAATTTGATTGATTGAGTCACATATGAAGATTTGTGAAATAAAATATTATCTTTTTATATTACGAATTTTATCTTAATATGAGAAACAAAGTTAATAATTCATTTTATAATAAAAAAATTCAAATAGTAAGCAAGCGAAAATCACAACTTTTATTAGAGCGCCATGTAGGATTAGTATTTTTAGAGTGTTACTTATAGGATTATGTCACGTAGGATTGTTACTTTAAAGCGCCATGTAAGATTAAAATTAAAAATTTAAATTTATTATAAAACTAAAATTGGAAATACTGTTAAACTTTAAAAAAAAATGAAATTCACATTCAATTGATGTTTAAAAAAAATTGGATTAGATAAAAAAAATAATGAAAATATGACAAGTGATTATAATAAATATTTTATAAAAATATACTAATAAAAAAATAAAATCACGTTAAATTATAGGCCAAATTAGAAAATAACACCTGCTAAAGACCCCGATTTTGATAATAACACCTGTTAAAAAAAAATTTTTATTATAACACCTCCAAAAATCCCAAAATTTTGGTTTCACCACCACTTAACTTTTCCATCCAAAAAAACCATTAAGTGTGTCCCATAATTGCCACGTGTCAATAATCTATTGGTTTAGAAATTTCAAAAAAAAAAAAAAGAAAAAAAATTTAAAAAAAAATCTATCCCCAACCCCAGCCAACCCCACCACCGGAGCCACCTACCCCAGCAGCCGACACCCTAACCTAAGTCGTCGGCATCCTCTGTCCCCACCCAAAACTAACGAAAACCAGCCCCACCACCCGTTCTTTCCTTCCCACACCCTGAAAACCGACGGAAACCGACGAAACCCACCACCCATTCTTGTCTCCTACCACCGCAACATCACGCCACCACCACCTACCTCAGCAACATCACCGAACTCCCCTCCCTTACCCAGATCTGTCGCCAAAACCCTAACCCACACCCAAACCCAAATACCGCTTTACATCTCTCACCCTCACTGTCACCCTCACTTGAACCCAAACCCGCACCCAAACCAAATCGAATTGGGGCTGAGGTTGGGTTGTTCTGGTGGTCGGCTAGGCTGGTCTAGTTTCGTCGGTCGGCTAAGGGGAGTCGGCAGCGCGAGTTGGGGTGACGACGGCAGGGGGAACCGACGCCGGTGGTGAAGGTGGTGGCTGGGTTATTTGGGGTTTTTAAAATTTTTTTTTTTCTTTTTTTTTATTAATTATTTTAAACCAATAGTATAGTGACACGTGGTTTTTATCCAATAAATAATTGACACGTGTACAATATGGGGTCCATAAAGGTTTTTTGGATGGAATTAAGTGGTGGTGAAACCAAAATTTTGGGATTTTTGGAGGTGTTGTAATAAAACTTTTTTTTTAAAAGGTGTTATTATCAAAATCGGGGTCTTTAGTAGGTGTTATTTTCTAATTTGGCCTAAATTATATAAAGGGGAGTTTTTTCCCAAAGAATTTAGAGAGTTACCTAGAATTTTGATTTTTAAAAAATTATTAGAGCGCCATGTAGGATTAATATTTTTAGAGTGTTACGTATAGGATTATGCCAAGTAAGATTGTTATTTCAAAGCACCAAGTAAGATTAAAATTTTAAAAGTATTACAAAAATAAATTACTATCTTTTTAAATTGGAAATTTTATTTAAGAGAAAAGAACAATTTATTTTATTTCGTATATATAAAAAATACTATTAAACTTTAAAAAAAATAAAATTCACGCTCAATTGATATTTAAAAAAAATTGAATTAGATAAAAAAACATAATGAAAATATGATAAGTGATTATAATAAAATATTTTATAAAAATATACTAATAAAAAAAATGAAATCATGTTTAATTAAAAAAAATATCAGTTTTCTCTCAAAAAAAAAACAGTTTTAAATTAAATACAAAAAATAAGATAAAATCATTGAAATTAAATAAAATATTCTTTCTCTTTTTCTAGCAAAAAAATAAAATGTTCATCATATATCATTTATTCGTGGTAAAGATTAAGTTCTACGTTAACAAAATAAAATCGCTGAATGAAATTTTAAAGTTTAAATTAATAAATTTAAAATATTGTCGGTTGATATTAGGAATTTCATTTATATATATCACGAAATGAGAAAATTTACAATTTATTTTAAAATAAATAAAATAAAAATATTAAATGATAATATGATATACTACGTACAACGAATAAATAAAGTAACAAAAAGAAAAAAATATAAGTTGTAAGAAAATACAAACAAATTGTGCATCGCACGGGCTTCATCTAGTAATAATCAATAACATAATACTAAAACAGACACCATCACACCAGGAATGACACGTGTCACTTCCTGCTGCTATATTTTCCCTCCAAAACTGTTTTCTCCTTTTTCTTTTTGTGATTAACATATTTTCCATATTATACTATTCAATCTATAACGTAATATTAATCAATAACATAATACTAAAACAGACACCAAGAATGACACGTGTCATTCTTGGTGTCTGTTTTAGTATTATTCTATATCCATAATTTTATTTTATTTTTACTTTTTATGGTAAATATACTTTAAATATATTCATCAAATCATTTGATTGTGATTCACACACTTTCCTAATAAAAATTAGAAATAATTGATTCATACTTGATTATTACTATTACTATTATTCCCAAAGCCTTCCTAATAGCATAATTTTTTTTTCTTTTTTTTTTACAATATCAATCTTATTTGATTTATTTTTAATTTTTAGTTATTTATGTATATCTAAAGCACGACAAATTAGATATTATTTCCACTATCCTAAATTGTATCAAATACACTGTAGTAATTATTTATGTTACAATCCCATAGTGTTTAAAATATAATTTTAAAATACTTATGTATTTAGTTAATAAAAAGAAAAACGATATCAATTTATCATTAAAATTTTTAAACTTTTTGTCTAATTACTCTACCGTCATTATATTTTAGGTTTCATTTCATTATATACATAAAAAAAATAAAAAAAAATACTATGGTTATGTATTTTGTCCACATGCATTATACAAAATATTTTGTTTTTGAAATTTTGTGTTGAATTATAAACAATAGTGAAATTAATTATCATGCATGGCATGGGACCTAATCTAGTTATACATTTATGCATAACTATGTATTTTTTGTTTAATATTATAGAAATATAAGATAAAAATTACCCATTGCATATAATTATAACAATAACACTAATAAAACAAAAATTAAATTCTCCACCATTCACTAAAAATGAAAAAAATAATTAATCAAATTACCCATGTGCTTATCAAAGTGCGGGACTAAAAGTCGCACGGGTATTGACCTAAATTTTATTGTTATAATGTATTGTGTATAATGAAGTTATTTTATTATGTTCAGTATTGTAATTCATTTCTGTAGTAATAACTAAACGTTGTAATTCGTAATAAAATTTTGTAAAAGTCGTGCATAGTATGGATTTATATTAGTTAAAACTAAAATAACAATCGCTGACATCATCTTTTCTCCTAACTATACACATGGCAAGTTGTGATAGAAAATTTTCCTATCTAAATTATATGTGATGTCATCACTTTATGTAACATTTTTTTAGTTAAAATTTTTGGTCATCTATTTCACTAATCATTTTTTTAATAATTTGAAATTTTAGTGTATTAATTAGTAATTTAGTATCCAAATTCAGTCCAATAACTTTGTAATTGTGACAATATAACGAACTTATTTGTCAAAATCGTGTTGTGCTTATCCTTTCACCGCCAAACCCTCATCTTTCCACCGTTAACCCACTATTTTATAGCTCGCCGGCGGCTGACTGCCGACGAGCCCCCCTTTCCCCAGCATATAATTGTTGTTTTCTTAAGTTTTTTAATTCACAATAGGGCGAATTACAGGTTTGGTCAACCTAGCTAGTGTTGTGGATGGTGGCGTTCACTACGGTTGGTGTAGTATAGGTTTGTTGTTTTGGGGTATATGTTCGCTGTTATTGGGGACATCTCAGTTCTGATTCCGGTGATGGGGAACAATCGATCGAACTGTTTGCTCAAGCTGAGAGGGGGTGCCGAAGCCTGTCTTCTTTCAATTAACAAGGGTCGCGCACAACCAGCATGTGTTCTCCATCAGCGGTTTCTTATTATGGTTCTGTTTTTTCCTTTCTCAATCTAAGCCTTTTCTCTTTCTACTTCCTTTTATTGGGGTTTTAGTTTATGTTGTTGCACTTTGAGTTTTAAGTTGTGTTTTTACTAGTTGTGGTTGTTACTTGTTAGTAGTTCTTTAATTTCAATAGGCTCTCTGAGTTAGAATTTCCAAGTGGTTATTTTGTGTGCTTCCTGCTTGTGGTTGTTTCAAAGGGGGCTCTGTGTTTCTTGTTATGTTTAGCTAGCTTGTAAATCCTAGTTGTCCTTTCCGTTTGGCATCTACTCTGTCGGTTTTTCGGGTTTCGTTGAGGGGTGGTATTTTGAAATGGATATGTGTCCTGCTTTTGCTGAGTTCCATCTTCCTGATGGGTCTAATGACAAGCATGTTGTTCGTATCCTTGATTCCTTAGCTTGTCCTGATGATGTTTTGGTCCGTTCTGAAGTTTTGAAGGAAGAAGGTAATTCCTTGTTCCAAGAACGCAAGTTTAACTTGCTTTTTCCAAGTATGATTTAGCGAGCAAATTGCTTTGTTTTAGTTTACCATCAACTCTGGAGGCTTATGCTATGCTTAGATCTTTAGCCTTTGCTTTAAATCTCAACCTGGCTGCATGTGCCCTGAAATTACAGGAATTTGATAAAGTAATTAAGTTATGTTCATTTGTGTTGAGGTATGATACCTATCATACCAAATGCTTGTTTAGGAGAGCTTTATCTTTTAAGGGGTTAGGCGATCTAAGTTCTGCCAAATTGGACCTTTGCAAGGCAGTTTATTGTGATTCAAAAAATATGGAAGTGATGAATTAACTATAGGAGGTTGAAAGGATTTTAGGTTGTGCCTCTTCTTTAGATCACTCTTTAGGTAGCTCAAAGATTACACCATTTGTTGAAGCTTCTTCTTTAGACTAGCAAGGAGTTTGTGATATGGAGGTCATTCCAGAAGCGTTGCCTAGTGGGGATGACATGGAATGTGATGTGGATTGTCCTGTTACTAGGGTTTCTCCAATGGTGTCAGATGAAAAAGTTTCTAATGGTTTGGAAAGTGAGTCTATTCCAAGGTCAATACAGCGGGATAATGATTTGCATCAGCACCAGTTCCAATCCTGCTGACGTTTTGGTTCATCTCTTCAGATTACTTCTCTAATTTACAGTGTCTTATGCACGTGATGTGCTCAGTTTTTTTCATTCAAGGTCTATGTCAGTTGTGACAATTCGGGTTGTCCCAAGTAAAACTTAAATCTTGACAAAGGTCCCCCTAGGTGAAAAATCCAGGGAAGCAGAGACCTTTATTCCTTCGGTTCCTCCTTTCTGTGGTTCGAAGCACCAAGCGGTTCCCTCTCAAAAGGTCTTGTGTGCTTCTTCTCGGTCATCCACAGTTGATGCAGCTGCAAATCGGGTTTCAGAAGCGTTTGTCAAGGTCCCGACAGTTCAAGTAAGTCCTCCAACAGAAGCTGCTTCTCAAGGGTTGTAGTCTGTCTTCAAAACTCAAGGCTTAGGATTTCGTCTTGCGTGAATCGCCAACGAACTATTTCTCATTCTAGTTTTCTTGTCTTCGGGCATCAAGTAAGATATGTTGTGACAGGGTTTCTGAAGGTTACAAGATGGATCGTGTGGGCAAAAAGCGACGTCCAGCTTCGTCTCTTGATCTGGAATCCAACAAGTTCGCTCGTGAGAAGCATGCTCGCATTGGTCCTTCTTGGGGTTTTGTTTTTTAATGTAGTTTTCGTGTGTGTGGTGTTGTGTTGTGTTGTTTTTCGTTGATAGTTCTCTTTGGTTAAAAAAAAAAAAAAAAAAAAAAAAAAACCTTTCAAAAATGAAAAAAATATCAAGTACATTAACACGAGTTTTCACTAACTTTACTGAATTTTTACCCATATACCAGAACTTGGTATACCGGCATGAACTACATATAACAAATAATACCCGGGAGGTGCAATATTTTTTGTTGAAGGTCCCATAACTCCTACATTAAAAATCCCTAATGAAACTTGAGAAATCCTTAACATTCTCAAAACCACCATCCTTTGATTCATAGCTAGTGAGTGTGTTGTAAACGATGGTGCAATAATGTTAACAGACACAGAATCGTCAGATTGGTATTGTAGCACATTGAAGGTGATTGTAAAAGGTTGTTCATAACCAACTACTTGATCACCGTAGATAATATTAGGTCTCATAGGTGCGTGTTCGGCTGACAAATAAGGCGGTGAATAGGCTTCTATACTTAAATCTGTTGGAAATTCCACATTGCTGAAGTTATAGTAAACATGTGGGTTGCTTCCTCCTACTAAAACTCGTCCATCTGTTAGTAGAATGGCCACGGAATGGTACATTCTAGGCCTTGCTGATGGACTCATGACGAAAAATCTCTGCTCAATTTCATTGTTTGGACGATAAATCAATGGAGTAGTGATTGGATTAGCCGCGTTCTCCCATCCAGCAGTGCCTAATTCTGCCCCGTTTATAATGAGAATATCACTGGTTGGAAGGAGTAACATGTCCCCCATAACACGCGCCATTGGCATGTCCTCCATCTTCCAACCAGGGTTCGCATCAGTGACTATTAAGCGTGCACAATTGTTGTTTGCGCGTACAAAGGACCTATTTGACATTGCTTGTGTGAATGTGCCATGATGTGAGCCACCACATATCATGATCTCAACCTCATTGGGTTTATTCTCGTCTATAGGCAGGAGTACTGAAGAGCCTGAGCTAGGGTAGTTGCGAGGATCTCCATCGGGAATGGGAGGGAACTCCTTGACTAGTTTGTTTTGAATATAGTCAAATGATATAGCGCGAGTGTTGGCAAAAATGAATAAATTACCATTTGGTAATAGGTGCACAAAAGGGTACAAGTTGTTTTCCTCATCATCATGAGTTTCCAAGAGGAAATCAAGCCAAAACGTCGATGAGGAAGAAGAAAATGGGTTAGACGTTCTAGGAAAGAACTCATAATTGAAAACTCTTCTACCACCAATTACTATAACACGACTATCAGGCAAAATTTGATTAGTTGCATACCATCTACGCTCCGATAAGTAACTAGGGTATTCGCTCCAATCACAATCATCTTCTGCACAAGGTGTAATTGTACGTACCGCACGATCACCATCATTATATCCACCAGTTTGAACCAGGGTTCCATCAGGAAGGACAGAGCCCGAAGAGCACCAAGTGTCGGTGTTGACTGTTAATGGTCGGAAGGAATTAGTAGCAATATCGTATAACACCGAGTGAGCTGTGCAATCCATTTGAAGGACAATGTCAGAGGGGTCATGTCGACATCGTCCGTAAGGGAGGGAGATGTTAGAAGGGCCAAAATCAGTTCTATCAAACATTACAACCTTATTGTTGCGCAAAAGTTGCATGTGCATGGCTGATATGCCGATGTTTTCATGCAAGACTTGCCACTCGCCTAGACTTTGAAGGTTTGATAAGGAGCTTTGGCATTTCGCCGGAGAAAAAGAGGCAATAGCCAAGGATAGCAGAAGAAACAAGATGAACATGATGATGGATAGTTGATCGCACAATGTAAGTAATTGAATGTTTGGAAGTCTCTAGTTGAAGAAGTTGGTAGGAAAAAGTTGGAAAATTAGTATGAAAATTAAAAGAATGAACAAATTGTGATCCCTCTATAAACATCACCTCTGAAGGGCGCTAAATCCTTGGATTAAGCTGCTTTGAAGGATAGAGGTAAAGATTGCACCTAATTCAAAGAATATGGTATCAATAAACCTGCTTATTTACAGACCAACATTTCTTTTAATCATCCCCCATTAAATAATCAAGGAACAACCACCCTTCAACAGCAGCTTTTTTTTTTCTTTTTTTTTTTTCTTATAATTATTTTATTTTATTTTATTTTGATAGTAGCAACTAGCAAGGGTTATTATACTCGTATTATATACCTAAAAGATTAACATACATGAACCAGTTTTATACAGGCAAAATACAAATATAGGCTAACGGTTCAACCAGCAAGAATAAGCCATCCAGCATTTTGACTGCCTTATTACAATAATACCATAAGTGGCACCACTGGATGCTTAACACACAAATTTTATGCGGCTTGAATGCTTGATGGTAGAATAGGCCAGACCGATACGTGTCACACTGGAGTGTTGTGGCCTGACCATCTCAACTCTTCATACATAAAAAGCCAGAATTATGTAGTTGTAAGACCTGTAACCAGCCATAAACCACAAAACCCAAGAAATGATATTTGAATGCAATAGATCAGTTTTTTAAGGAAACCAATACCCATTTATTACCAGCAGGTACTACCAGAGATTGAAGCCGCAAAACGTTCACAGCAAAATTATAAAAAAATATTTATTGAAATTACACGACCACTTCCATTTAAACTCAATTATGTTTCAATATCATATTCATATATATCACTTCTCCAATAAACTATATTCCTCAACATGCGTTTGTCATGCAAAATACACAGTTGTGAAAAACTAGTGGATATAATTGGATACAAGAAAAAGAAAAAACCAATGCTTGGGGCTTAGGATGAGATCATTAGGTCCCAAGCTACTTGTTTCGACCTTTACTCTTCCTTGAAACTTTAACCCATCCATCTTCAGCTTCTTCCATCTGCTGGTGTCTGCCATTGTTTTTCTGTATTTCTGTGGGATTAGTACTTGGCAAGGACTCCGGTGTATCTACCATCATATTTGATTCCTCTTCATTCCCCATGCTCTCATCACCTCCTTCATCGCTGTCACTTGCATCCTGTGACATGGCAATTAGCACTTCAGCATGTGCGCATAAAAGTAACACACTTCTGATATCACAGTTCCAAGAATCCTAGATAATTATAATGATAGCTAATACAAGTTCTTTCATCGGATATTATAAGCTTCTGGAAATATACAGGATGAAACATAATTGGGCAAAGATATTGATGTAAAAAAAAAAAAGAGAACTGCCATGAGACAGTGTAAGAGCAATAGTGAAAAACAGTCCAGGAGAAAAAGGCAAAAGTCAGAACACTTCAGGAGAGATAGCAAATGGTCCTAGAGCAGTTATGTGGGTGATAACAGTGACAAGCAGATGTGGTATTGAAGTGGCTATGATTTTGGGTGGGGGGGGGGGGGGGGAAGGGTGGATGGTTAATATAGTGCCCGTGGAGACAGTTTTTATTAGCTCCAGGCTCCAGGTAAGATTATGCTTGATGTATGGAGTGCAAAAATTTCTTTTTAGATGAAAGAGTTGATCGATGTTTTACTTGTTTGATTCTGTTTCATACCCAAAATCAGTGAGCCAAACACCTTCAAAAGCATGTATCTTTTTCAAGATGACGTCAAAGGGAAAATACAATTTTCAAGATGATGCTATAAAACATAGTTCAGTTTACTAAACACTTGGAAACACCTTAATAAATATTGGAATGTTTAAAAACATAGTCAAGTTGCCCAACTTCTAACCTGTAGCCATGATACACTTGTATAAATACTTGTTCAAAGTCGAAAGAATATTCCTGTAGTAGCAAAAGAGAACTAGAGTTTTTGAGGATCCGCCTAGAACTATTTGTCTTCGTATTTTGTTACCTACTAGATTTTAACTTCAAACTTTTGCACTATTAAAGGAGCACTTTACAAATTAGAAGCAGACCTTCTACCGCGGCTGAGCCCGCGTAATCTTTGCTTTATCACTTTACAAATTAGAAGCAGACCTTCTACCGCCTAGAACTATAGTACTTATTCAATGTTGTAACAAAATGATTATTTTTGGAAGAGAAGTTAGTTCAAATCTTGGCCCCTCCAATATTTTTGACCAAGATCCAATACTTTATAAAACTTCATTATTCATGCGAAATGTTTAAAATATCACGCCAACTGCCAAGTACCAATCCAAATGCACAGAATACAAACCACAAACAACAATGCATAACCCAGTTTCCTAAATTCTCTCATGAATGTATTTGTTGCAGTCATCTAGATCCTCACTAACACAGAATAAACAAGATAGAAAAATGTCGATTACCTGTTCTACACGAGGAACAGTAAGTGGTTTTGTTTGCTTTAACTTCTGAATTGATTGATAGTTGCCTACCAAACATTCTTCATACATAGCCATCAACTGATCCGCTACCTACACAATAAAGCCATAACTCCTGATCACAAATCTTAAGCATTTTGATTCGACTCATCCAATTTAGCATGACAATTATGCATGTAATTTAATTGTGAACTTGAAAAAAATAATTGAAATACATTCTATATTGCAATGAAGCAATCACCTCTAGCACATCGTCTTCTGCATCTGTATTCAAAGAATCCAAACCATCCTCTAGCAAATCTTCTAATTCGTCTATGTAAACGGGTTCTGAGTAAAACAAGAAAAAAATGCTCATCAACAACCATACATATAAGTAAATAATCCAGACTTCAGAATCATCAAAATATGTAAAAAAATTTTTTTAAAAAAACCCTCATATTTCAAATTAATCAAGTACTTATCATCTAAATTAAAAGAAAAACATAACCAAATTCCCAAAAAACCAAGCATAGATTGATGTTATTCATATTAATCAGTGATTGAAGTTACCACTTTTAAATTCTTATTAAATTCAGAAATTAAAACGGAAAATTGAAGAAACAAACCTTTGCGATTAGGTTTATGGAAGAAATTGAAGATTCGAGAGGAGAAATCAAGAGCTTTTTGCTGAGAATGAGGGCCTCCCCACTCATTTTGTACAGCCATTTGAAGAGTCCACCATTTTGAGAGAACCAGTGATATTCCTTCTTGAAAGTGTGGAATTGAATCCGCTGATAACGTTTTTATCTCCGCCATTTTCAATTTGGTTAGCTCTCGATTCAGTGGCGTCTCCAGGATTTCCGAAGTGTGTGTTCGAAACTTCGGAAGTTTGGAATCGTAATTAACAAAGGAATAAAAATATAATAATTAAATATTCAGTACATTTTCAATTATTTCAAAATTATTAGTTTGTTTTTTTCAGTTTAGTTGGTTTAATTCAAAACTCAACACATTGCAATTATTTTATATATTTGTGTTATTAGTTCATGAAACAGATTTAAACCATTATTAGCTACTATAACCAATGCTATAATATAACTTACTTTTCCAACAATAGCAAAAAGCTTGCAACTTTCATGTTTTCATAACTTATGAGACTGATACTCATTTGAGTATTCGACATTTCAACAGCAAGACAAAGACTGAAAGACAGCAAAGCATTAAGGGAAAGGCAAGCTCAACACTGGTAGTCGGTCGAGAACTCGAGGCATTAAGGGACTTATAAATTATAATGAAGACAAAACTATAACAAAACACAGTCAAAAGACTCAAAACCAATCTTCAATTTCTAGAGGAAAAATCCCCAAATCGTAATTTAAATTAGCGAATGAAATTCAGCGATTTACCAAAAAAAATCCCCAAATTGTAAAGTAAATTAGCGAAATGAAACATTAAATCAGCGATTTACCAAAAAAAAAAAAACATTAAATTAGCGAAATGAAATTCACTGACCTCACTACGACACTACCTCAATGAAATTCAACGACGTCGCCCCACGTCGGACCGTCGGTGTCGGAGCACCTGATGCCTGGCTGATGACGCGTCGGCTGCGGAGCAGAGCGGCGGACAGAGGGATAGGGATAGGGTTTTACAATTTGGGGGAATGAGGAAGTGTTCTGTGTTGACTCTTGAGTCTTGAGGAAGGAAGGGAAAAAAAGAAAGTGAACCCACAAACTCGTGTTTGATGGGAGGTAAAAAAACCCACTGGGGCTTTATTTCTTGCCATATAGCGCACAAATATTCTATTTAACCCTATTCCGCTTTTTTTTTTTTTTTTTTTTTTATTATAAAAAAGCTTTTTTTTTTTAATTTTTTTCAAAAAATCAGTGGGTTCAATGAACCCACATTTGATCCGTCCCTGTCTCGATTGATGAAGATGAGAGAGAAGAAGGTATAAAGTATAAACCCTAGATTTTGGGTGGATTGATTGATGATTTTACTAAACACTAACGATTTGATTTTCAACTGTTTTCTGTTTTTTTTTTGGGAGAAAGTTGGTCGAAGTTTTATGGACTTTGGTGTAGTGTGTTGTTGCGTGTACATGTCCTGTATTACAAGTTTACAACACATGGCCCAAATGGGAGGAAGTCAAAGTTATGGAAATGTCCGATCGCGTATTGGGAATTCGGGATGGCGGGTATAATTTTACATTCTCTCATATTCTCTGTTGCATACGTTTATCAATTATGTGTGGAGTACATAGGAGAATGTGAATTTAGTTGGGTATGAACCAACAGACCATGGTGACATGGTTCGATTGGACATGAGTTTGCCTTCAACCCACCATGACATGATAACACGTACATAAACCATGATGGGCATCATTTTCAAATCTTGAAATGATCTAAACGAGTTGACTCACGTGTCACAATACAACCCTATCGGGCTATGCATGCATGTGTCCCCTTGAGATCAACATGAACCTGTTTAGACATGACTTTTCTTAGTCCACATCCTTGATCTATGCCAACTCTAAATGTGAGTGGGTGAGGCAACATATGTTTGTAAATGATATATATGATATAAGACAATATTAATTTATAGGGAATCAAACTATATAACTAGATTAGAAAGCTGAAAAATATTAAATGGTCTGACACAAGACACGCTATAAAATTTTTTAACACATTAAATATCATAGCATTAACAATTGAATTTGATGCTACATACGTACGAATAGACAATACTATGGTTGGAACAATGATTGATTAATTATATGATGATGAAATACTAATGTACAAAGTAATTTGGTACTCGTACCTCTTTAAAGATTTACTAAAAAAAAGGAGTATCAACTAAGAAAGGTTATAAAAAGAAAAACTTGAGCCATGATTTGCTTAAGTCCCACATTGAAAAAAGTCAATCATGACTTATGTTTTTCTTTTTATAACCTACCTCAGTTATTACTCCTTGTTTTCAATGTGTAGTTGGTCACATGGTGTAGCCGAGATTACCTAATCGAAGGTTACTCAGTCGATTAGCGCGTTTTCAATTGTATGTTACTCTGATTTTTTGTCTAGATTATTCATCAATTGATTCTCTATGATACAATGGTTAGTGATTATTCAATTTGGGGTTTAAGAAAATGAGCCAAAAACATAGGAAAGATGCTACGTGTTAGAAATGGGCATATCCTTTTGATTATTGGAAATTGAAGAGTGGGTGGAGATTATTTGTATTATGCCTAGTAATATTGATAATGTTTGCTATAGTGGTGCTACTTTGATAATTTTGGAGATAAAAAAACACATCCTAAAATTTGAGGAGAGAGAAAATACTCAATAACTAGCTTCATAGTTTGTACGAGTAATAATCAAAAGGAAGAAGATCTTATTATTTATCATATTGCTATTACTTACATCTTATAATCGCAGCCATCCAATTTTGTCAAATTCAACGGCTATAAGAACAGTCTCATATTAAGAGAAGTTCTCATATTAAGGAGGTTCTCTATATAATTTCACGTAATTTACTAATATATATAAATAATTATATAATTTGTTTCATATAGATTGAACTCCACTGATAAAAAATGCTAGATTTGTCACTGCATAAGAGGTTAGTCAATTAACTAAATTTTCAATTGAGTAACTTTCCATTTTCTTGTAATTAAGGTTCTGCAATGTGTGTTAGTCAAATTATTGCGATTATCGTAATCTATTGAATTTATTATTATGTTTTCTTAACTTATAGCTGTACAAAAGTACTAATAGTTAACTAAATTTTGTTTTAATTTATTTTTGATAAGTATAGACATAAAAAGCAAATATCAAACCAGAAGCAGCACATGTTACAGTCCCGATCGTTCGCATTGCAAATTCTGATGTACTTGTAGTCCGCCATTTTTAATTTTTGTAAACTCAATTTCAAGGTTTGATTTTCAACAATTTAGTAGCTATAAGGAATAGCATTATATAATCCGTAGTACTATTTTTGGAGCGCAAACAAGACATATTCAAACTCTTCTTAAAGACATTATTCTGATCAATCCCATAACAATTTGGGCATATTAACATGGACATGTGCTCTCTTTCTACGAGTAGTTAGCTTGATAATCGAAGCATTCAACTTATTTACAGAGAGGGAGATCGAGCAGAAAAATAAACTGTAAATATTGATTATTAAATTAGTGATACTTTTTAAGTATGAAAATTATACGTGCAATAATTTTTCTTTATTTCAGATTCCTTTTTATATGTATGTATTGAGACTTCCCAAATAAATTTACATACACGGATATTTTCTGTTCATTTAAGATTTTTTTTGCTGAGGAGGAAAAAAAAAAAAAAAAAAAAAAACTAACCTTAGTTCCCAATGACGAGATTAACAAAGGTCATAAGGGTACAATTCCCGAGAAATCCAACGTGTCATTGAAATTCCACTTTCTCTAATAAACCACTAATCAACTTATTATTAAATTGCCAGCAGCACAAAACAAGATACCAGTAGCAAGCAAACTTAGGGTTCGTGCATGTAGTAGTTTATTATGTATGGGTAGTGTGGCTTGTAAAAATTTTATTATTCTAAAATTAATTTATTCTCCATTAGAATAAAATGCTTCTACCTAAAAAATTTCAACCATGTAATTAGATACTACTAATAAATGTGTGAATATGTAGTCAATTGTGAAGGAATAATAGATGCCAAGTGTCATAGCACTTTATAAGTAATGCAACAATTGCGCCCTGCCTTATTTACGATATTCCTCCCATAGTAATGTCTAAAAATATCTACAACATAAGAAAATGTGCAATTCCATTTTAGTGAATTCCATAGTTGAAAACACTAAAATTAATCATGAAAAGTTGAATCATTAAAGAGAAAATTTCTATTTTGGTTTTCCTTACAACAAACATAAATAATTCAATTTAGTTTTGAGATTTTGACAAAAAGATAGAAGAGAGGTAGAATCTTATTGAAAATGAGCCATGAGCAACCACAAAGACCTGGCGAAGACCAACAAGAGTTGAACAAATATGGTGTTGTTTTCTCAACCGTGTTAAACAAATTACCTCAACGGGTTTTTCAGGTCATTTAAATTCTACATTAGCAAAGATATTTCATTTGTCAAAAATAATTATAAAAAAAAAAGTGATTCACAACAAAGATCTTGAAACTTAGATAGTATAGATATGTTTTATGCTTATTATAATGTTATGGTCTACTTATGGATACCTTTAATTAATCCGCGTTGCATTGTCTAAATTAAAATTTCATATTTTTGACATAACATCAAAGTGATAAAATGGATATAGAGCTCATAATTGTAATTTATGTTAATAATTAATGGATGTGCTTAGAGTTGCAGAAAATGTGAAGATTCTTGTTAATGCATTGAGAGTAATTTGAGACACATATACTTGTATAAAGTATATAGTTGAAGCTAGCTATGCTTTTCTTTAATATATTGATGAAAATTTATAGTCAAAATTTATAGAGTTTGACTTGAGAAATAATAACTGCGAACATCTTTGGGGGATGATGGATCTAATAGTAACGTTTTTTTGTGCATAAATGTATGAATTTGCAGGGCGTTTCTGATGGCGAAAGTAGGAGTGACTGTGAAAAAGGGCCAGCAGCAACCCCATCAGCATACAAAGAACTAAGTCCAATAACATTAGGGGTGGCCCTCCAAGCAACAGTATTAACCGCGGGCCAGAAGGCAGTGGATCAAAGTGATGCAGCTGCCATTCAGGCAGCTGAGGTTAGAGCCACTGGCCAAACCAACATCATGCCTGGTGGACTTGCTGCGACTGCTCAATCTGCTGCGCAATTCAATGCTAAGCCCACCACACGGGAGAAGACTACTCTTGCTGATGTTCTCTCGGTAATCTATAAAGACTAGCACATACATATTTGTATTTTGTTCCTGTTCTTGTTTTGGCATATAGGAGACACAAAAATTGGTGAATTTAATTCTATTTTCATAGCATTATTGAAGAGTTTTTAGGCTTCACTAATTTAAATGTATCTACCATTTATGCACTACTACTGTTTTTCATAATTGCATGCTAACTAGATAGGATGCATGACTCAAATGACCAGCTGCACACGGTTGTGTGGCTTCATTGCTTCCCTGTTCCACCATTTCTCTTTGTCTTCACAAACAAACACCAGGACCCCATACATGTTCCTTATTTGGACTAACTAGGTCTTCTGCATGATTAAATGAACGTGTCAAGGGTAAGTAAGCATCCACAATGCTACAAGCTCTACAGGACAAGCAAAAATTTTGAGGATGACAGATATCTAGAGCCATAAAACACAATGAATACATATGCTCAATCTGTCAATTTTTCCATGTTTTGGCAAATGTGCCTCCTTTGCAACAAACGTTAACAAAAAAAGATAGAAAAGACTATATCAAACATAACTTTATGCACCTACACTTGTATAATCTCACTATTCATGATCATCTGACATCTAACATGTTTCCCTATGACAGGAAGCAGCAGCAAAATTACCAAAAGATAGGCCAGTGACAAGGCAAGATGCAGAAGGTGTGATGGGTGCTGAACTCAGAAACAATCCTAACATAAGCACGTACCCTGGTGGAGTTGCGGCTTCTGTGGTGGCAGCTGCCAGGATTAACCAAAGTAATGAGCAGCTTAGCAAATAACTCACCTCCTCTGCATATATGCATTTAGAATTTGCATATCTGCTGATTTAGGACAATATTTCCTGTGTTAATTACATTACATGTGGTTTACATCTCTTTTCCTATTCTATGAACTATTTTTACCTTTAATTATTATCAGTAGTTTTAGATTAGAAATGTTGGAAGTGTTTATTGAACCTGTGAAAGTGTGAAGATGCCAACTAAAGGATTTTGAATGAAGAAACAGTTGTAAATACAGAATTTTTCTAGAGTGTGTACACTGAACCCACAACTAATGATTTAGGATTAGATAGAAACATAGCAGAAGCTTTTGGTATACAAATATGAAACTCACATTTAATTGTTATCATCTTGGTTTTGAATTAAGGGAAGTGAGTCTGACTTAGTGCTTATGTAACACTTATCACTAAAATGGTCGGTACTTTCAAACAAATTGGTATTGAGGAATGGAGGTTGAGTTGGTGTTGGTATCTCGCAATTTTCACTAGTTAGCATGTCAACCACCTGAGCCATGGATGGTCTCAAAGGGACTGAAGCTTGAGTGCAGAGAAGACCTATATGAAGCACTTTTAATACCTCCTCCTGAAACTCGGTACCCAAGTAAGGATCAACACATTCATAGTGTCTGCCTAATCTGTAGAGATTCCAAACCTATAAACAAGAAGAAGGCTCAGTAATATTCACAATGAAGAAACCGAGATCATTATATTAGTTTCATACACAATTTAAGGAGAATTGAGTCATACAGATTGTAGAAGGGATTGTGACTCCTGTATGAAGACGTTCTTCCTACTACTTATTATCTCGAGAACAATTACCCCAAAACTGTAAACATCTGCTTTCTCAGTAAGTTGTCCTCGCACCAAGTACTCTGGAGCCATGTATCCACTGCACCATCAGCAAAATTCCTAACTAGTCATGTCTTAAGAAATATTGAGGAATTTAGGCCTCGTTCTCTCCAACTTAGAACAAAAATTCAGTAAAAAAAATCAGTTATTTCAGTAGACAAATCAGTCTGTTAAAACAATTAGTTCAGTAAAGGAGAAGAGAACCAAGCCGGATATATCTGCAAGTAGAGTAAGAGGCTCCTTAGGAGTTGAAGCAGGAAGTAACTTTTCAATTAAGGAAATATACACAACAGATTGGATTTTGATGACTTACAGTGTGCCAGCAATTCCAGTACTCAGATGACTCCTGCCTGAAGCAATAGACCTCACCAAACCAAAATCTGCAATCTTTGGAATAAAATCTTCGTCAAGAAGAATATTACTGCATTTTATGTCCCTATGTATTATTCGCGTTTGAGTACCACCATGCAGATATGCCAAACCTTCAGCTGTTCCCACAATTATTTGTACTCTTTGCTTCCAATCCAGGCTCTGAGCTCCTGTTCACAGAACAAACATTTAATGAACCAAAAACATCATGCAAGTATGTGCACTTGAAAAGCTTTATGGATTGGAAAAGGGAGAGGGTGGAACCAATATAATATTTTACCAAAGAGATAGTGATCAAGACTCTTCTTAGGAACGAACTCGTAGACCAGGAGACTTTCAGGTCCTTCAATGCTACATCCTAGCAGTTTAACAAGATTCTTGTGTTGAACATGTCTGATTAAGTTTACTTCATTGAAGAACTCATTCGCCCACTGTGTTGTGTTGAAAAACAGTCTCTTAACAGCAATTGCTTGACCATTTGGAAGTGTCCCCTTGAATACAATTCCTGCTCCACCTTGGCCAAGTTTATTCGATAGGTCAAAAAAATTTGTTGCTTCCTCAAGGACTTCATAATTGAAATTTAGACCAACTTTTGCAAATCTTCTGCTGACTTCATTTTCTTCTGTCAATGCATGAAAAGAGTTTTTACGAGGACCTAGTCAGTAAAAAGAAGACAAACCTTATTATTGGACTGCAAAAGATTAGCATACCTTTTTTCCATTTGGAGTATCTTATATAAACCAAATAAGAAGAGAAGGAAAGGAACATGAGCATTGCAGCTGAAGCCAAAATTATGGCAGCTATGTATCCATGTCTGTGCAATCCTGAAAATGAAAGCGTAAAATAAACATTTCAAAGCAATTAAATCGTTCGATGTAACAAAAACAATTACCACATTATATGATTCCTACACAATGCAATGTCTAGAAAAATTATATGCATGCAACATTAGTAAAAGACGATAACGGATAATAACACCAACAATAATATGATGAAATTTGCCAATAAAAGTTTACCATGATGACCTCTGGTATGATTGTGATCACCATAAAACTTGTTAGTTGAATACCTCAGATAACAACCGGCATTAAAACCCCTGCCTTCCCTACTCGGTACACACTGAGTGACCTGTTCACTTGCCTTGTTTAAGCAAGCCTTACACCCAGTAGCACTGACGGTCTTCCAACACTGAGCCAACGCGTACAACTTGTTCATTCTTTTCCTATCATTAACCTCAGCCACTCCAAATCCACCATTTTTCAATCCTTTTTCCATCGCCTCATCGATGACAGTCCTCACACTCTTAGCAAACTCAGACCTCTGATTTACATCCACCTTACCATTGTTTGTGCTGCAATTTCTACCATTCAACTTGGGGTTCAAGGGTTCTTCATAAAAACTATAGTTATCATATCTAAGGAAACACCCGTCCAAGAAAAGGGAAGCAGAAACCGAAGGGATACAAGTTGGGAGCCTAGTACGACTAGCAGCAAAGCAAAGTTGACAATCAGTTTGAGAAAGGTCTTCATAGCACTGAATTAGGCCAAACATAGGTGACTTTACATTCGAAGAGTTTGTTGAAAAAGAAGCCCAGCTTTGAGTATTTATCTTTTGAGCAAGATTGTACATATCCTCAACAAATTTAGGAATGAACTGAGAGTATGTTTGCTCTCTGTACGTCCCACAGTAAAGCCGGGTTTGCGAGGCTCGAGGATCAGCATGATAGTGAGGGAAGAGGGACAGGTAGAACAAGAAAAAGAGCTGCAAAGGTAGACATGCAGAAAATGTGTATATAATCTGCATGTCAGCAAAGTTATTGGTTATGTTGTGCTGAAAGTTTTACTTCTGATTGTTGTGTGATCAACTGTAAGGATTTCGCTGATGTCTACATTATATGGCTTATGATTTACAATAAGCTTAAAGACAGTCAATTTTAACCGCAAAATTAGAACGTAATAACGACGGGAGTTTGAAATAGGACTTACCTGAGCTTAAAGTCAAGAATGGCGTTCTGAAACTTCCTACAGTTCCTAATATAATGCATGACTTGTCCACTAAAGAAACTTCTCCTATAATTTTTGACATTTTCGACGAGTTGAACTTGTATGTGTAATAATTCAAATTTTCGGTTAATATAACAATAGACATTTATCTAGACATGCTCATTCAAGTCCATTCTAAATTTATAGTACATAGCTTGATGATAACATAAACAAATACTCAGTAGCTCGTACGAAAATAAGATACCGGCCCTTAACAGATCACATCAATGAATGACCTAAGCTTATAATATGTACGCTTCATTGTCATATTTTGATGGATGGTAATGGATTTGAGGGAAGAGATAGATATAAACAACAGTCAAAAGCTTTCACATCTTATTTAAACTACGGTTGGCACTTCTACCTTTCAATCTTTCATCATCTCATTTTTACCCACGACAGTAAAAGTCCTATATCATATAGTTTATCTCATGTTGAAGTAGTGTAGCAATCTTACTGCATATGTGACATGCCACAAATGTTATCATTTAAAGGAATCAAATGGACAAAATTTGAATTAAGAATCAACCTATATGAATATGACAGCAGTGATTACAGAGCGTGCAAAACATAGACAAAAAATGATTTTACAACAAACTGTACCTTTTATTCATTCACCTATGATATAATAATGTACAAGGTTTGCTATATGAAACGCTGCAAAATGAATCACTATAATACAATGAACTATGGAGGACAAAAAAGAAAATTCCTCGTCTACGTCATGATCGGAAAACTAAAGAACGCTGACTAGCCGCATAATTGCTCTTCTCGTTACTTCTCTAAGATTTACCAGATTGAGTTAATTTCCGTAGCCCCAAAATCTCACTGATAAATTTAAGCAGGACCTGTATCAACTCCCTCACTCTAGGTTCCCTGCCAATGGATGTACAAATAAATTTAGCAAATGCTCGAAAGACAACAAAGTAGGTAAGTCCATGCTTTATAAAAAAGTAGATCTACAATAGAGCACCCCACATTTGAGAACAATTGACAGATAATCATGGCATACAGTAAGAAAACAACTAGCTAATTTCAGGCCAGGGAAAATGTACTTGAAAGACAAGGCACAATCAAAGCAAAGCTTAACTACTATATATATCTTGAAGTTTGCCAATTCTCAAGACGGACCATGTAATAGATGGTTTTTTCATCTTTATTTCCTCAATATAAAGTTAGAAAAATCAATCACCTCACCTAGAAGTGACAAGTTCGCATAAGGATGGATGGAGAACAAGCAGATGAGCTCGACCATCATGAATCCCTTCTGTTGTAATACCATGTTTCAGATGCGGATGCAAAGGCAAAATAGATGCAGTGTCGGGGTGAATTGATAAGCGGGCAAGCTCTTCAAGGATAAACACAACTTCTTCAAGCCTTGCTGAAGGAAATGGTCGTTCGCCTGCAGGGAAAGTTAAGCGCTTCATGAGCACCAACTAAAAATACGAGGATCTTCAAAATGAATATGGCAATCACCCAATACAGATCCCTCCACATGCAAACTTTCAAAGGCAGTAATCATGAGTTCTTCAAATCTGAAGTACATTAAATCATCAATTAAAGCTACAAACCTAAATCAGCCTCGTCTATGAGAAATCTGTTAAAAATGTGTTCACATCTCTCCAAGAGCACCATGATAGCAATTTTGCTGACCTCAGATCGTGTTGCGTTCCATTTATCAACCTCAGTCTCAAAACTGCAAGCAATTTAGAGAAAAATCCCACTAAAACTTAAGTTTTCTTAAATAAACAACAGTAAAGATAATAAGTTTGAGTTATGTTCGACAGTTTTCAAATAATTTACAGCAAGAGAAGAGGTAAAACTATTTCAGAATTGTAGTTTAGGGCGTTGAGGCAGTTCTGTGGACCTTCCCTATTACAATCGCATTTCTTATCCAATGATAAAATTCACCGCCAAATTTATTGTCATCCAATGATAAAATTCACCGCCAAATTTCCCAAGGCCCCAATTGATAAAACAAATATCAACACATACCTCGTCAAAATGAATATCTTTTGCAAGCAAGCCAAGGAAAATCTGAAGCAATGGGAAGGCAGAAGTTCCACAGTCTCCACAGGCAAAGAGCATGTGCGTGATGCACAGCGGTCCAGAGTGGATACTAATCTCTGCAGAATCTGGAAATTTTTAGAATAAGCATTTGTCAGTTAAGTACTCAGGGACTTGTAATTGATAGAATTTTAAAGAAAACATGTCTGCTGAAGAAACTATTTGGACAAGTCTACTCACTACATCACCTTCAGGACAGACTAACAAAACCATTATTAGCAAGTTATTGGTAAACAATTATACAGCAGCAAAGAGAAAATTACATCTGAAGGGGCATCGATTTGAGACTTCAGAATTTCGTCACCAAGAATAGTTAAGAAGGCCATATCCAGTGATATATCAGCCTTAAGTGCAACAGTAGATAGAACATTCGAAGGAAGAGCACGTCCACAATATCCCACAAGAAATATTTCAAATACATCAGCAACTTCCTTCCAGATGCGGTTCCTTGCAGATCGGCTATTACATGGATGATTTTCATCCTTCTGGGACAATCGAATTACATCAGTCACGAGAATACGGTTAAAGCCTTCAACAGCTAGCCTCCAAACTACACCATCTGCACTGTCTCTTCTTGTTGTCATGCACCTATAGAGATTATTGAAAAAAAATAAAAAGGGTTAAAACAGAAGGAAATTAATGCTCTGCTTTACTAAATGTAAAAAAGAAAAGGTGCAGCAGATGTAACTTGTAGCAGAACCGATTATAATGGAAAATGAGAAAACAAGATAGAGCCACAAGGCCCCTAGTGCAAATTTACCATCAAATTGGCATCTATGCCAGGAGGAAAAAAAACAAACTAAGGGTAGCAAGTTTTTGATATGATACTCTCACTGATCAAAAGAAACAAATACTATTAGTCCAAAGCAACACATACCAATCAGCTACATAATCCTAAGTAACAATAACAACCAAAAGATGTAGCACGGTTTGTCCCTCCTGTACACTACCCACTTCAAGAAAACAAAAGTTATTTATTAGAAAATATTACCATGAGAGTAGACTTCAAAGCAATTCCAAAAAAACAAATCTTGTTCATGACTATCAATTCCTGATACTCCTCTACATTATACTAAAGAGAATAACACACAGCAGCTATCTAAAAGTACCTCATATACAAGTAATAAAGAGATCTATTAATCTACTCCAAGGGGATATCATATCACCCTAATGCAAAAGGACGGCTAAGGAAAAACGAAGCTATTCATTGACATATCAAGAAACATCAAGCATCACTTAACACATAATTCTTGACTACAGCTATGCAAAAGCGTCAAAAAAAAAAAAGGTACTCCAGTTATACTCCAAGGGGTTGTCACACAATATCTTATATCCTCAAGAAGTGACCTATCATCAAGCTAAGGCTCACTGCTGATTCCCAGACAATCTCACACATGCTTGGAATTTGTGGGAAGCTTTCTCCTCTTTGATGACTGCTTGGAATTCCTCAGACCAAATAACATTGTCAGTCTCTCTAGATGACTGCTTATGTATCTTGCTATTCTATTCATGTAAAAGCCAAAGCTGCACCTATTTTAGGCTTGCAAGTTGGATTCCCATGCATGCACTAGTGTTTGCACTGTACCAAAAGATGTTCACTTCTTTTTTAACAAAACAATGCATCTTCCTTAGAAAAACCAATTCATGAACTATAGTATTTATGATTTGCAAGACAAGAAAACAGAGTTCCTTAAAGCTTTTTCTTGAGATTAATGTACAATATTTCCCAACAAAAAGAACCTATGTAAATGCCTAAATGATATTCAACAGCTTATCCAATTCATGCTGATACAAGAAGTGCTTATCTTGCTTCTCAAGAAAAAGTTTGTGATTCCACAATTAGGGAGTATGAATTCGAGAATAGCCCTTACACATATTACTATAATTCCACATAAATCAACAATTAGCCACTTTTCCAAGATAAGAGATCATCTGGTTAGTGTTCTTCTAGGTTTACAACCAAGTCAGGAAAATTTCTCATCCAGATCCCAGTCCAAGGTAGCACACCATGCATTAAAGTCAGACATAGAGATACGAATTCATAAATCAGCAATCATGAAAGCACTGTAGCCAGTCAAAACTTTTAATGGAATTCAAACATTTTATATCATATACCTTCCCAAAGCTTGAATGACTTCAGGATATATAATATACTTTTCGGAATCTGGAGCCCTCAAGAAGAGATCAACAAACACTGGGATAAGCTTTTCAGAAAATATGCTGCATTGGACGCCAGACATTGAAGTCGTAACAATTTCAGATTCAACTGAATCTTTTGTCAATCTTGGAGATGTAGACATCACACCATTAGGGCTTTCTCTCTTTCCCCAATTATCAGCTTATGTAATAGAAAAAAAAAAAGAAGAAGAAGTCTATCAATTTACATTTTCTGCCATTGAAACATATTTGAAGCATCAGCTAGATTGCCACAACAGTACCTTGGGTAGAGTCTGTTTCCCCAGTTTGCTTGGCATCTTCTATGCTTTTAGAGGTGGGAGGAGCTCTAGGAAGATATTTCAAAATCGATTGAAGAAAAAGGGACCACATAGAAGAAAGATGCTCCGACGGACATAGAAGTGGTAAGGTTTCTAACATAGTACGTTGCAAAGGGGGGATACATCCCTGAAATAAGTATTTATGAACATATTCTGTCAGAAAATATACTTGTAATCAAATGTGGAGACACATAAAAAATATGGGTACAAAAAACCTGCTTACAATTGGGCAGGACTACTCAGATAAGTATAAAACATAGCACCCCCATTCAACATTGGGGTAAAAACTGTCAATAGCAGTAAAAAGGTAAAATTTAATACAACTGGAAACAAACAAAAAAAATAATCCTCAAAGGAAATACGTGCTGTTCACTCCTTATCATTTTCTCATAATTCATCAGTTAATCTTTTTATACATCTCATTTATTCTGCAATGTCCAGGTAGCTGGTTGAGATAAAGGTAATACAGTAAAATGTTAGGGTTTTGGATTAGAAAGTGCAAAGGTGAGTGTAGAAAAAAGAAAACAAAAATTAGGGATTCAGTGATAATCACCCCCCCCCCTTTTACTTAGATTTGGGTGGTTATGGGCTTATCAGAGCCTTCAATTTTCAGCTTCCTCCATTACCTTTAACTTCAACCGACTAACAGGGTATTGGTAAATAAAGATATACAAAAGCAAATACTACCTCCGCTTCCTATTATTTGATACTTTGGAGGGTTGCATGGACTCCTTGGCAAAATTTGTTTGTGAGTTTAAATGAAGAGAGATAGATAGAGATGCATGTGACATGGAGAGAGACAGGGAGAGATGATAACTTAAAAAAGAAAGAAAACATTGGTTGCAAATAATATGAAACAACTATTTTTGGCAAATGTTGCAAATACTATGAAATGGAGGATAAATTGGAAGCAAATATGAGGAAAAAATAAGCAAACAGCAAGAATTTACTCCAAAGAATAATGTTGCTAATCATATACCTATTTGTTATACTAACGTGGTAAAGGGAGGCTAGTATTCACCAATATGGCTAGTAACTGGCGCCTTCAGATTGTATCCAAAGGTAAACTATATCAAATATATAGAGAAAAACACACCATAATGGCAGTGGATTCAAAATCAAGTAAACTTGACTGACTGTAATTAAATTTAACTTTCCCTGAAATATATTAAGCTTTATACCTTCTATTGTTACCCACACTAACATAGATGGAGCCAAAAGATTAAAAAAACGATACGTAGTAATTTTAATCGGTTATCTACAAATTTATGCCTTTTTAAGAGTATGACTTTTAGATTTTACTTCAAGTTAATCTAGAGGGTTAGTAATTACTACTTTGTCCATCACATATTTAAATACCATAACAGTTTTGCGGTTTTCATATCACATTTTTTATCAAAGGTTCTCCAAAAATGGAAATTTGAACTAAGAGTGCCTGCTTAAGATAAACCAAATTTCATACTAACATGTAACTTACAGCATCGGCAGCAGCATTATCAACAGCCAATGTGGCCTTAATTGCCACATCCACAACTTCAAGAAGTTGCTTGTACATATCAATGTCGAACCCCTGCTGTGCTTGAGCAAACAATTCTCCTGAAGAAGATAGAAAAGCCACAAAAATAGAACGCAAAATAAATATTTTTCAAGTTTTGTATCAATGTCCAATAGAAAAGGGTTGGAAAAGAGTGTGCAGACCAAATGGATGACAAGAATGTGCATTAGCTGTCACATAATAATATAATATTAATGCTCAAAAAAGTCAGAAGGGGGGTGGGGGATGAATGTTGGTAAAGTAGCAACTGAAAATTACCCAGCCCTTGCAATATCTCTTGCTTCACTCTATCAATAGCTTTATCACTGCGACTGGGTGATTCTAGAAGAAAATGCTCATAAACATCAAGCACTGATTCAAGGTAAGCCATGGGCAAGTTTCCCTGATTCAAAAAATATAATTTTCAGAATGCCTCAGAATAATTTTAAACAGATCTTCACAGACAAATCATTACCTTAACAGAGTGAGATAGAATAGTTGTTTGTAAACAGTTGATTGCAGCTAGTGCAACTTCTTTACTTCCATTTACAATACTGCTTTTAACAAAATTAATCAATGTTTGCCATCCTGCAACAAAGAAGCATATGATCATTTTCTCGTTATCTTAATGATAGTGTATAGTATGATAGTAGTAGGGTGAAATTATAAATTACCATAACCACTAGCCTACGGGTTATACAGCTCCAGAATAAAAAAATGTGTAGCAAAATAACAACCAGTGCAAGACTCACCAGACCAGAAATTGCTTAAAGTTCTTAGATAGGGAAAGAATGAGCGTAAGAGGCGAGCTATCCCACCAAGAACCACAACAAGTGTTTCATCCCACTGCTTCTGAGCCGTGTTACGACTGCACAAGTTACCAATTCTTTCAACATTGACAAAGAAGGTATGTCCGAAAGCAGAGTGCATCTTTCGAAAGGATCAATATAGCATGGTTAAGCAATTACCTGTGATGAATAAGCATGTGAACTGCTTTTCCACCTTGTGTCCCTAGCTCTTTTCCATGCCATTCATCTCTGGATGAGGTAGCAGCCTACATGTGGTGAATGACAATCTATCAGGAAAGGTTTTTTTTACTTGAAGATTCCTTTTGTACAGAGAAAAGGTACATTAACAAAATACCATGTGAGAAGCACGATCAAGTGATGGGAAAACATAATTCCAAAGACAATCCTCCCACATGCTCATTGAAAGCTTTTGCCCATGAGTTCCAAGGGTTTGAAATAATGTACGTATTGCTGAATTTCTCACCTGTTAAGTACAGTAATAAGGAGTATGACATGCAAACATAAAAGGTATATTCACTGAACTACAAATAAGATACTTCAGAACAAGTATGTTCGAATAAATCAGTGAGAGATTCCTAGTACTTTTCATTAAAATTAGTAATAGGAGAATTGTTGGGAACTCCCGCAATGTACAACTTTTTGTAAACAACGTCCCTCTGGCTTTTTTTAAGTGTGACGGTTTGACCAACTCATAGTTTCAGGAGGTTATATTGACTTTATTATATTACAAAATTGTAAGAAAAGGTAGTGGAATAAATAATTTATTGAAAAGTAAGGAAGGTGAGAAGAGGAAAATAATTTTAAAAAATATAAAAAAAAAATAACAAAAAAGTAGGAGTGGGGACCATATGATGATAGTGAATAGTTAAAAACTTGAAATATAATAATTAAATGTAGTATTATGCCAGAAATAATGGTAACACTTAGAAAAATGGCCAATTAAGGCAGGTGTAACACTTTTTTTTTTTTTTTTAATTCTACGTAGCACTACCATTTCACAGAAACAACCAATGATTCCATCCAAGGGGTCCACTACAACACTTTACCCCTTTACTAACATACCAAAATATCTATTTTAACGAGTACTAGTTTACCCATCATTAGTTGGATGCATTAGCCAAAGCCCCACATGCAAAAGGCAATGTAGACAGATTTTCACAGTATAGAGATAACATGTAGAAATGAAAACAAAGAGAGACAACATAGAAATTTAATAAAGTAAGATAAAATACAATGGCACTACGCAGAAAAAACATAAAAATAAAAAAAAAATAAAAAAAAAGATACAAAAAAATTATACCATGCACCAAGCAGATTGTAGACATAAATGAGTTGGACACTGGTGTGATTGTCAAAGACAAATAGCTATTTCTTACCCAGAAACCGTCTACCAACTTTGACTTCAGAATAATGTCATTATGTTAATGGCTGTGTGTTCGGAGTATCTGCATTAAAGAGTCTCCTGTAGGAGCTCAACTGAGATAAGTGATATGTTTTTGGTCTTTTAGCTAAATATTTATCTGCAAAGTAAAGAGTTTCTAGGTCAAACCCTTCCTAGAAGTTGCGGTACTAGATATTAATGAGCAGTTTGTTGGTTTAATTGTTTTGGAGGATTTGCATTAATCCTTGAAGCCTTGCAACTTTTAAAATTTGTTTTCTTGGTTTACCAATAGGGTTCGATTGATAGCCAAAATAATTGTTGAATTGCTTGTGTCCATTAGCATTAAGCAACAAGCTTACAATCAGATAGTATCCACAGTTCACATGTACTGGTTAATTTAGACAAGAGATTCTACATATGCAAAATCACATCTGTTCTGTAACTCTATCACTCCGATTTTACAATTCACACTCCATGATATTCATTTGGACATCAAAGGGAACTTAAAGACACTGTTACATAAGATGTTTGCTTACTCTGGTTCTTAATAACAGTTTTCTGTACTCTTTTGCCAAATTTTGATTTGCGATAAAACAAGATTTTACCTTTGATTGATTTGTCTCTAATGTAGAAAAAAAAAATACTAGGGGACAACAATTCAGAAAGTATATACACCTTTCAGATATGACAAAGGTAATAATTGAACTAAAAGCAATCCACAACTAAGAAAAACAACAGTCCCCAACATATGGAATGTTAAGATGATTAAATTTCAATACCTCAGGTCTCTCATCTGCTCCAAGTGTTTGAAGCAGTGAGAAGACAGAAATCAGCAACTTGTCATGTTCATCCACATTAAAAATAGAAGATTGATTGTCAACTTTGTTTGAATTGAGTTCTTCTACCCGCTTTCCACTATCTTCTTTCTCTGAAATTGTAGCAAGAGGATTACTGCATGTTATAGAAGTTTAGTGCACTAAAATCCACAAAAGCTTGGCAATTTGAGATCGAAATCCAGCATACCACTATCTTTGCTACTCAAACGAATGTGTCCTTTAACTATGAAATCAGTTGTAGTCCACAAGAGACCTATTGCAGTCAGGCTTATGTTCAACTCAGTCTGCTGAGCACTATAGGCTCCAGTAACATCAATACATCTGTAATTTCAATTACAGCAAAACAATCAACATTGGCTAAAATTTCCACAAAATATTTAAGAGCTAACTAGAGAAAAAATATGCGAGCAAAATTGCAGCAAAGCACTTCACTGTATCAGCAAGCAAATGGTCAATGTGTTATGTGCTACGACAGACTACTTTTACATCTACCTATTATCTTCACACCACAATTGACTGTCAAATAATTATTTGGATATCTTTCTTTCTTTTTTTCAACAAATCGACACTTCCTCTAGTTCAACTCCATAATCATTAATCAGAGCCATACTATCAACAGGCTAAATCAATATTGCATACACAAGGCTAATGGCATATCATTTGGCATAATGATGCTTCTTATTTTGTTTTCTTTTTTATTTCCAGGTAAGCATCATAACCATGAGGTCCATAACAGGTAAAAGCAATATTGTATACACAAGGCTAATGGCACACTCATTTGGCATAATGATATTTTTTTTTTTTTTTTTTTTGGTAAGCATCATAGCGATGAGGTCCATAATTAGAAGAGGATGGTAGTAGTAATGTAAGTTAAACTCTGATGGCAAGAGAAATGTTAACTAGCTGACAAAAATGTAATACATTTTATATTATTAAGTTTATAATCAATATTTAACTTCTAGTCGCATAAGAAGTATGTCAAATTTAGGACCCAGTTATTGATATGCCTTGCCATAGAAAGTAATAGTCATTACCTTATCTGCTGCTTTAAAATTTTTAAAAAAAAATTGTAAAGAACTATATATAGCATGAATACAAGTGCAACATTTTCCAGTCATGAACAATATCGAATAATTATTAATCTCAACCAAAAAGAACATACTTTGAAATACTATAACATTAATAAGCACCAAGAGTGAATGAACAAGCCCAAAGGTACATATACAATATTTTGTAAGGACATTGTGGAATAGTGAATCAGGATTGTCAATACTTGAAGGCATTCCACAGGAACAGTTGAGAGCTCATTATGTTTTTACAATTTAGATCTTTAGATTTAAGACAATCAAGTCTCTCAAACACTTGAAAATTTTCTTTATATGCGACTCCCAGTTTATCAATTGGAATGTTTATCTTCTTTCCTTATTCTCCACCTTCAAACATCCAGTTTATTACAAACAGAAACTTACACTTGAAGGCAATCCACAGGTATACTTGAGAGTCCATCATTCATAATAACACGAAGGCTCTGCATAGCCACAGAAGAAATTGAGTCAAAAACAGATTAAACAAAAATTACTAGCAGATAGACCAGAGTCCTTGAAGTTTTCCCCAGGAAAGACCAGATGAAATAAAGAGAAAACTTAAATATCCCAGGCATGATAAAAATTGTATTTCATCACTTGCTAGAGATTACTTCATTTGTGGTTTGAAAAGTAATTGATAGTCCAAGATACATCATGATAAACCTTTCACATTTTAATTATACAGTTATAATCCAGACAGCCGCAGAAAAATCAGATTGGATAATCAACAGGAACATATATTTAATGAAGAAGACAATCTCTTTCAAAGGCTATAATGGAAAGAAAGACAATACCAAACAAAGTATAAAAGGGGAAAAAAATTGGATTTCCAACCTGGAATCCCAACGTTATTAGATCCTTCTCTGCTCCACAGGCAACAGACCTTGAAGATGCACAAAGAAATAATCAACAGCTTCAGCATCAAAGATAGAAGATAGAGTTTTCAACAGAAAAATGATGTAAGCAGAGAGACATACCTTAACAGCTCAAGTATGTCCTGCCAGCTATCATGTAGTTTTTCTCCATGCCTCTGAATAAAATGGAGAGAAATTAAAGAACAGCAACAAAAGCAAGAAGAACAAAGTTATGACAACATTCAAACAGCTCCTCACATTACCTCCAGAACATGAAGAAGAATCTTCAGAGATCTAGAGCGAACTTCAAAACTCTGAGCAGAAAAGTACAGTACCCTCAAGGGTGATATAACAACACGTTCAAGTGATCTTGAGTCAACAGATGCATTCTTTATCTGCTTAACGAACAAAATAAAATATTATTCTCATTTCAAATCGACCCCAGTTTAATCACCAATGTCGAAAGACACTCACGTGTTGAGAATCTGGATAAGATCCTGATGCTACACGATCCTGTAACTGATCAGAACCCAGAACAGCACAAATTGACCTATCCAAGGCATCAAGGGCAATGCTCCTCAATTGTTGATTAGAGTTCTCAGCAAGCTGCAAACAAGACATACAATTAGAAATCCCTACAGACCAACAGAAGCAATGGCCCAAACCTGAATTATTACCTCAAGAAAATGACCTACAATTGGATCCCAAAGAGGTTCCACTCCTTCAACAAAGAAATAATGTATGAGAATCATATAACAATAGATGCTATAATATAGGCACCAATGGGCACAATAAACAAGTATCCAACATATAACAGACCACAGATTAACGTGGAGTAAAAATAAGTCATATTCCCATCATAAATATTAATGAAATGATATAATACTGGTTTCTAGAAGCTACTACAAACTTATTTGTTATTAGTGAGTTCAAATATTTTAGAACTTAAAGGTTTTAAGTCAATTGAAGTTTCCCGCTATAATTTCCCAACATACTCTCTATTGCTCAAGGAGATCTTCTCCTTGAACATTCACGGTTGCAAGTACACTTGATTGTTTTATGAAAAATTTAACGCAGTAGACGATAGATACTTTATCAAGGTTGTACTTTCAAGTTTCCAGATAATGTTATTAATCTGGTAATTCTTGTTGCAGCATATCAAAAGTATGCAGCATAGACACGGAAATAGAAGCAGAAAACGTATTATGGCAAAAAGAAGCACAAAGCAAGGCCCAAAGAACCCACATACAGTATACTCTTTCACAAGAGCATGAGTGCACAATTTTCCACATATAATGACCCTGGGAATGCAACAAAACTTAATTAGAATGTCAATCCAGCAGAAGTTTGACATTAACATCAAGCACATTAACATCAAGCCTGGCTAAATTAATCCACAATGATTTTAACACAGGCAAGCTCAATTGAACTTGATAAAAGTGCTGAGACTCTCAACATAGCAGACAAGCATCTGAACTACCAGAATATGGGGGTGGTAAAATGAACCAAACCAAGATGTTTTAGGCAGAGGATGGGTTTCATGAGATAGAAAGAAAGTTGAATAAAGAAAACAACAATAAGGTTAATTATGGCACAGGTAGCCTTGGTGGCAATAATAGAAGAGAAATTCAAATCAGAAGGATATTTTTGGAGAATGGCATTGGCTACAGATATTTAAAGAGAAGCCATGAATGGCTTCCTCATAACATCTCACATTTTAGACACTTGCTCTTTTCTTTCCATCTTTCCCACTTCTACCTTATATTACGTTTATTAGCCATTTTCCTTGTACATTCAGTGGGCCACCCCCACCAAAAAAAGGGAAATTGGAAAAATTCCTTATCAGAAGAATGAAATGAAAAAGGAGAGGAAAAAAGTAAAGGTGCCTTTGCTGTTCACCCGTATTTGTATTAGGTGAAAATGCACCAACTGTACTGACACCGAAAAAGGCATAATGAGAAGAATTCTCTAAAGTCAATGAAAATAGCAGACATAATTCAGGTTTTATACCTTTATTAAAAAAGATACAAGCTTGTTAGTACCATAGTTGGTGTCATTAATCATTTAAAGAGAATCATTTACTTTATGGACAAACCTCAAAAGAAACTATGAGACATCTCAACAACCAAAAGTAGGGGAAGATGTTGAGCTTAGAGGAATACAGAGTACTTAAGACAATAATTTACAGCAGAATAAAAACACGTACTGTGAACATTATTAACAAGGATAGATATCATCCTTTCAACGGAAAAACTGATGCTTCCAATTTTCTGACTTGATGTTGGAGGAAATCCACCAGCAATGCCAGGCAAAGATTGTTGTGACAGTTGGCAAAGTGCATAGACAAGTGACTTCACTGCAGATACATGCATCAGAGCAGAACTTTCAAATAACTACAAAATTAAAGCGGAGAAGGTTAGATTCATTATAAGGATACGCATGTTGCTCAAGTATATAATTATGTAAACCAGATATAACCCTTTACCTGGGAATTTAAAGAAGAGAGTATGTTAAAATCGCTATAATGCCCAGATGACTCTCTGCTGAGTCTAGTAGCAGTTGTTGACACTTCCTGTTGGTTGTCATATTAAATATAATAATTAGTAATCTTAGGAAAAGAATGCAACAAAAGGTTGCAAGCAAACTCCTACAGAGCTGCTACAGCCAACTGACTACAGATCCAATAGGTTACTAGGATAGCATCACATTTACACAATACAATATGCAATAGACAATAAAGCAAAGCCATATACAGTCACCTGTACCTGAGTAGTAGCATGCGGAGAGTGAATTGTCCGGTCCAAGGCCGCTAGTGTTTCCAACACCTGCAACAATTTCCATGATTGATAGTTGAAAGGTAATCTTAGAGCTATTTATCCAAAAACAAGTATGAAAGATTACCAGAACCCAAGAGGGACCTAACACATTGTGTAGCCGGTGGGCTATGTTGAAGAGAGTCCGTAATGCCTAGAAAAAAGGATAAGATTAAACAACATAAGTGATCAAAAGAACACCTCGTCCAGGTATAAGTTTATTAAGATGGATGAGAATAAGTCCAGGTTGATATTCAACACATTGACACAAGAAAACCTTTACCTGTACATTTTTGGGAGTCAAAATAATGCCATCTCTCTGGTCAGCAAGAAGCTCAGTGCGTTTTGATCCGGGAGATTGTGAAGAGCTACAATATCAGTTACATGACGTAATTTAAGATAGTTAGGTCACTAGACAATCCCATCCATAGTAAACAAAACAAAGACTTCTTGCTTACAACAGAAAAGGGTGAAAAGAAGCACGAGAGGGGTGATGGGATGAATAGGGGGAGTGTTGCAATAGGAAAACTTGCACTTGCTTGGATAGAAAGACAATAAGAGAAAGGAAAGAGGAGGAAGGTAGAGCTCCGATTTCCCTCCAAATATATTCAAGTTTGAAGGGATGGTAAAGAGGGAAGGAATTTTAATCCTCCCCCAGTCCCCCTACTCCCCTTCCTTCCCCCATATCCTTGACCAAAAAGGGAGCTTCTTCCCCTCCGTTTCTCTTCCCTCTAACTCTCCATTTTCTCTTATCTAAACAAAGTGTTGATGAGGATGCCAAGAGCAAAAAAAAATACACTCCTTTAATCATATTTTGGAATAATTTAATCACAGTACTCAACTCTGCTTTAGATCTCCCATATGTGATAATAGATAACTATCTACAAAAGCCATTACAATGTAAAAAAAGCAACTTTAGTAGATAAACACTTCAAACCTTTTCCTTTCAACCTCACTGGGAATATTGATGGTAAATTTGCAAAGAGATGCCAAAAAAGAGTTTAATGGCTCAACTGCACGAAGAACTCCACAAGCCTGTAAGAAAAAAAAAAAAAAAAAAAAAAAAAAAAAAAAAAAAGACTATGTGATCAAGTCCAAGCAGATAGTAAAAAAGGCACTTTAAACACTGAACATAGCAAACTTTAGGAAATATACCCTAAACACAATAAATAGAAGGAACCCTTATTTTCATTGTGGGTTGAAATTCAAAACGATGTTTCCAATATTACATACCTGAGTGAAAGCTTGATACCCCTTTAGTATTTCCAACACAATAGCCTCCCCTTGAGATCTTCCAAGTCAAGCTTAAGTTAGAGCTTAAAGTTGAAATATTTTACAAGTTATAAGCTTTAGCAATGAACTATAATACCTTGCCAAAATTAAAGAGAGGGTATCAAGTATTGTCAACCACAAGGAATCGACCATTGAATAACAAAGAAATGCTATCTTCCCAGTCAACTTTGCCGGAGGGTCAGACTCACATCTAGGGGATTCCAGCTGACATCATTTTTTGATCAAGAGTTAGAGCACTGTACTATACAATAAAAGTGGAAACAAGTAAAAGTTTACAGAAACCAAACAAAATTACCTCTCCCGTATCTACTGCTTCATCTGTCAGAGTAGCAATAGTAAAGACAACACCTAAAAGACCCTCAATTGCCAATGTGATTGCATGAGCCTCACTAGCAACTAATACTGCAGCATTGGATGCATCATTGTCCAAGATCCACTCAATACCTAACATTAAAAAAGATTAAAAGCACAGTTATCAGACCCTAAACAAGAATTAAGCAAGATTCAAAAAAGTTGCTAATCAACAAGTTCCTGACAATTACAGAAGAGACAACAAAGACTCGAGAATGTTAAAAAGAAATCCAATTGCAGCCAACTCCAACTCTATCAAACTCGAAAAATAGTTACCTTTAGCTTTGCTGCTAAACATCCCAGCGACAGCTGCCAAACTCTCTTCACTTGTTTCTTGAACCTTACCCATCAACTTATGAAGTCAATATTACTCAAAATCTTTAATCTTACATTCTGACTGAACTTATGAAGGTAAAAACAAGTTTAGGTCACTCCAGCATTCATGTAATAAACCAACAGAACAAAATAGTGGAGCATTGGCTGAATATGAAATGGAACACGCTGCAAAGATATATTGCAACTCTTACCTGTAAACTTGACACAACACGTGCAAGAGCTTTCACAATATTCTCCACAACATTAGTATTTTTCGGGTTCCTAGAAAACCGGATCAGAGTTTAGGCCATATAATAAATATCAATAACTGATCAAGAACATTTAACAGAATTTTTGTTCAATATTTTCCTCATTTAATTAATCAAAACTACACTTTCAAAAGGACATCAAGAGGTGACTAAAGCAAATTTATAGAGCAAGTAGAAGAAGAGAGAATGAGCCATCACACCAATAATGTGTGCATGACGCTATTCCCTGAAATAGGAATAACATCATAGGAGTGTATCCTTCTTAAGACAGCTAAATGATAGGGCAGAGGAAGCTACGTTCAGTCTTGCAATCACACTCAACGATTAAGGAGCAATGAAAGATCTACTGCTACTGTAGTATAGACTACAAGAAGCCCTCAGGGAAGTCATTCTTAAGGGAAGAGATTCAATGGAGAATCTGTTGATTTTGTTCCTAGCTCTTGAAAACAGCGACCCTCTCTCTGCTATCTTATTGTTTCTAGTACCTTTATTCATCAATCAAACGATAACTTTTTATTTTGGCTAAGAATTAGGGATTATATGAACAGCTCAGAAAAAGGAGTACAAGCAACAGAGGACAAGCTGTTCTCCAAAACAGAAAAAGTAACTTATTAAAGATTATTATTATGAAATTTGTCACAAAGGGCCTGTAATGCTACCACTTTTGTGAGAAAGGACCTTTAATGGCAAAAAAAGACCTTTTATGTGTTTTTGGTTGTGGGATGGGGGACCTTTTGTCGGATTCCAGGAGTTGACTTCAAAACTCCAGCAATGACCGTCACGTGCATGGCACGTGATCTTTACAAAAATCCCTTTTTCTTCCTTTTTCTCACTTTTCCCTCCAATTTCTTCTTCCCCCTATTAATTTCACCCTAATCTTACTCTCTTCTCAAAATTGTGGAATGCTAGTTTAATTTCTGTCCTTAAGTTTTCCAAACAAACAATTTTTCAAATCAAATTTAAATCCTTGCTATCTTGCTCTACCTTTCGTCCTAATTGAAAGTAAGTACGAAATTAGGATTTCGTCATATTGTATGGCTTGATTTTTCCCAATTTTTGTAAATTCTCAAATAAATCTTCAACCAGCTACCAATGTCATATTTGGTCCATGCAAACCCAATCAATGCAATTTCAACACGGTACGACAAAAGAACGGGTACTAGATCTTACATGTCAAAATTCTGGAAAAGAACTCGCATGGTCCGCACCTCAACACAAAAGCCCTGTCATGTTGCACAAGATATGATACACAGACACAACAAATCAAGATAACAAAGAATTATAGCAGAGGCAAGTAATCTTAGTGAAATACCCTCAGAATTTCAAGCACAAGGATGTGGTGCCACAATGGCAGATCAAGAGTTGTGACCCTCACTAACATACTCAGGAAAACCTACCAAAAGAAGTAGAGAAAAAGCACGCAATATTATATTTATTTGCACAACACTAGTATCAGTTGAATTATTCTCTTTCGTGCAGAATAAGCTTTTAGAAGGTGTATTCATGTACCTCAGATTCAGTGATAAGGAATGAACTATAAAGCCTTATAATGTGAGCAACTGAACGCAACAACAAGCGGCGAAAAAAGGCCTCTCCTGCTTCTCCTTCAAGCTGGCAGAATTCAAAAGATCATTGGCTTGAAAAAAAATTTAGACTGCTCCCAAATTATATGGTGTATAACAAATATCATATACAATTATAAGTTACCTCAGCATTGGTACGAAGAGAGGTCATCAGAAGAGAGCATATCTTATGGCGCAAGACCTGCATCATTGAAGCAATTCTTTAAGGCTTGGAGTTGAACAGATTAAGTGATCCAAAAGCAGGTAGGTATCTGGTGTAAACACATGATTACCTGCTCGTATGGAACCAGTGTTCTGAAAATGGCCACATAATTTGATAGGACAAACCTGAACCACAGATAAACAGATTTGGCACCAATAACTAAAAAATTTGGTCATGCTGGTACTGCAGATCTCAAAACTCAAAAGCACCCGCTAATAAAAGGTATATAAATATTAAAGTGAAATCTAAATCAAGATGGTAATTGTAAACTAAGGACTAAGTCAATCTGTGTGGATAATGAACGTTGCGCCTAAATTAGATAAGCTTGTCATGGTTTTAATTGTATTATGGGTATTTAGAAAGGACAGGGACAGCAATGGTAGTAGTCAACAAGTGTATAAAAAAAAAGGTGTTTCAACTTTCAAGAGACAACAGCACCAGGGTAGATGATGGTTAGACAGGAATGAGAGAATTTTCAGATTTGAATGAATTTGGCAGCATTTGAATTTCACCAAGGCTTGGTATCATTTGAAATTCAGAATCCAGAGCTTTGAAACATTCAAGTAATAGTGTAATACATATGAAAAGAGCACATATTAGACAGAAAGAAAAGGTGTATTCCTTACTCGAGTATATCAAGGGCAAATGATCGTTGGACGGAACTGATACGTAACCAAGTTGCCTGAAACGCAACATCAAAGGATTAAAAATAAGCAAAGGCAGATAACAACCAATAATTCGATAATGGAACAGAACACTTCAAACAAATGAGTAAAAGACATCTTCATCATCACTAGACTATGCTCAAGTAGCTTCATGGTGTAAGATCCAAATATGTTTAAGTGAAGGAACTTTAAGTTTCAAATCAGCACATACAGATCCACCTGCTGCAAGAGCTGTCACGTCCTCAAGCAAGCGAAGCCCAACAGTTCCAGCTTTGGTAAGGCTTTCCCTTGTGATAGGTGCTACTCCAGATACAGTATCATACTCACTGTAAATTCCCCAGTCAGTAAATGCTAATAAAAATGGACCAATATTCACATAGAATCAGAGTAACATGCACAATTAGTCACTGAAAAGAATATCAGCCTTTTCAAAATAAACAGAACTGGCGAGAGAATCGTATGATTGAATGACTAAAAAAATGCCACATTGAGATTGGCAAAATAGACAGCAGAATCATACTTACTCTGAATGATGTATGCTGCGACTAACATCCCCAGTAACGGAACTTGATCTTGATCGATAGATTTGACCTCCAGAACTGAATTTTCCCGAAGGAAGTGACTCTGCTTGGGCCACATGATCAAAAACCAAGGCCACTGCTTGTCTAAAGGTAGCCGCTGCAGTACTGAAGATAAATAATGAGATTCATAAGATGGAATATAAATTAAGGTACAAGAAAATTGAAAATAGATACTAATAGATAGAAAGATGGATAAGAGCCACTATCTAGAAAATTTAACTTACTTTTGTACACTATCAGAGGAACGATTACTTTCTAGAAGTCGGAGACAAATTCCAAGAGCTTGAGCCATACTTTCCTAAGAATAACAAATTCATAAGATTATATGTCCCCTAAACTTTCTCAGTAATCCAAAATTAAGAACTTCAAAAGCATACGAAGAAACTAATAACCATCCCAAAGGTTGGAAATGGGAAATAACGGGATTCTCATAATTTGCAAAAGAAAACATCTTACATAGAGAGAAAATAAAATAAATAAATCTAAACAAGATCTCCTTGCAGATGAATCAAGTGATCAACTATGATGCATTTGACGAAATATTTAGTTGATTTATCATAAAAAATAAATAAATTTTAAAAAATCAAAAACTTTGAAATGCACTCTTTTGCATTAGTTGTAAAAGGTAATTAAATATGGTTAGCTTATTTTTAGGCTGCTAAAATTAGCTATTACTCCCTCCGTTCCTTTTTATTCATTACGTAATCCGTTTTGGATGTTCTCTTTTATTTGTTATATTTAGAATCTTTTTTGTATGTATCATAGATTTAGGACAGATTTCCCCCAAATATTACTCTAACAATGTTCCTACTATTTTCAGAATTAATCATAGCATTGACCAACTTGTACACCATTTGCACCAATTGTAGTGCACTCAAGTGTAAGTGAAGAGATGATACATATTATAGCCTTTGGGCATACTTGATTTTGTTCTTTACTTCCGTTCATATGTATATCACTGTATCAGTATATCTATATAGGAAGTATATGGCCTTCCCCTTTTGCTTATTTTAAATTACTCTTTCCTTGTGCATTACTCCAAAAAGAAATCTATTTTCTTCACTTAGACTGTTCAATTAAAGCATCAATGTAGGTGCAAATGATGGACAAGTTGGTCAATGTTATGATATAAGCAAAGAAGAGACACACTCCTATTCAACTTTGAATGTCTTGGAAACACTTTTTTTTATCTAGACCTTCTCCTTTCACTAGCCCAACTTTAATCTTTCCCTCTCTTTTTTACTTTCTTTATGACAAATTAAATAGGCATAAAATATGACCCACAATTTCATTTTAATGTACTTTCCTTCAATATTGTCCATGTCCCTCGATTAATATACTATATCCAGATGCCTATTCACATGGACAATGTCTTCAAGTTATTATTAATTTTCCCATATCAAACTATTAGATACATACGCAAATCTAATACCTATATCCAAATTTGAACATCATAGATAATAACAAGAAAAGAAACTAAATTCAAAGCCTCCTTTGAAATAATTTAGACAAGAAGCCAATAAGGGTAATAACTATAAGAAAACCCTAAAGTTAGCTTTAGTTACAATCAATAAATTTTCTTTTATGCCAAACAAAGTAACAGGACATTTATTTGAAGACAGAAGAAGTACTAAGGTGATAAACATCACCATAAAATACGCATAATCATATGTACTTCTCTATAAGGAAAACTAATTTGTATCTGAAAGCAGAGTCAACTAATCTCTATTCACAAATTCCGACTTGTCGCATTTGTGTGAAAAATCCCCTCCTTCCATATCTTTGAGAAGACTTTTTGGAAACTCTATCATAGACCTTTTTTGAAATCCGGATAACTTATAACCAAAACCACAGTGACACATTCAGGGCCATTAATCTGAATCTAAACTGCCATATATCACATCACCTCTTCTTCATCAAAGAATGCAAGTATCTACTCTACTTTATCCAAATCACGAAATTCACAAGTTTGTAAGAAAAAAAACTATCAACATTATACAGGATCAAACAACAATGAAAAATAATGATGAAAGCTCACCTCATCTTCTGGATGCATATGGGACTGGAAAATTATTAAAATGGTCTGGAGGGTCTTCAGCTGAACTGTATCATCAGTCATTTCAGCATGCTGTAGAAGATTAACAATCATAAGTAAGACACATTTATGTGAGCAATAATAAAAGGCAGTCATGAAAATACCAATGGGTAAGAATTGAGAGTGGCAAGCTGTTACAAGTCACAAACACAAGGCATACCTCAGTATTCACCAAGAAAAATTACTTTGTGCATGCTTCATGCAGAAAAAGAAAAGGAAACCCTAAGAGAAAGCATATTTTCTACGGTGGCGGAACTCAAAAATTTTTATTAGAAGGGCCAAACTATGTAGTGTTATCTCACGCATTAAATAATACGGAGTATGTCAAAAAAAATGAAACAAAAAAAAAAGTGTTAAGGAGAAGATTTGAACTTGGGACCTAAATAACTAACTTTTTACCCAAAACCAACTCAGCTATGATACAATCAACATAATCTTATGCCAACATTTAATAGATAACCAAAACCAAGGGGGAGCCAAGACCCACCCTAGCACCCCCCCCCCCCTCCACCCCCCTCTCCCCCTGCGGTTCCGCCCCTGATTTTATAGAAAGCTTAATTATTGTATGACAAACTTTATGTGTATTATTTGAGCTTGAAGCTGACTCAAGGATCATGCCTCCCTCCTCCTCGTGTAGTATTAAGTGTCAAATCAATCATGGACATTCAAATTTGGATGGAGGAAAGAAATGTATCAAACACGACACCAAAAGGTTGTCAATTACGCACGCAAAAATTTGGGATAAAAATAATACGCCATCAACCTCAAAGGGATGCTTAGCATGGACGGCCACACTTTTGAGGCACCCACACATGGTAAACCTTCTTCACAGCCTCATACTAGTAATAAATAAAATCCATACTCCGTATAACAGATCTAATATATCCATCTTTAAGTAGAAATGTAGAATTTAGTACGACATCTTCCTATACCTCAATATGTTATTTTCTACTTAGCAGGGGGGACACTATAAAGCAATAAAAATTTCAAAGAAGTATCACTTACCTCTTTCAAGGTAGAAAGTATCTCCTTTAATGCTGATGGAGCAACAGCATCATGAGATATTAGCTTTTGGAGGCATGAAAGTCCAATAACACTCAACTTCACAGTTCTAACTTCACAAGCCATCAAAAAGATTCGCAAAATATCCTCATTATCAGCAATTTCACTTGGACTTGACAATGACCGAAGCTGCATTAACAATTAGAGCAAAATGTTTTATAGAGTTAAACATGAATAAAAAAATTTATTACCCCACCCCCCACAAGGGATGGCGGGATAAGATCAAACATGGAAAGCTAAGGTATAAATGTATGGGGGTTCATGTTTGAGACTTTGAGAGAGCTAAAAATCCCAGACAAGAAGATTCGATTATTTCTGAAAGATAGCTCATCATTTTGTTTCCAGGGTCAGGCAGAGGCCTCACATAATAAAAATGACAAACAACAATTCTAGAGAAGTGTGCAAACAACAGAAAAAAAAAAAATCACAGGACCATATACTAATATAGGCTTCACAAACATGAACTTATTATGCAAGGCAAGATGCTATTATAAAACAATGTGCAAACAATTAATAATCAACTAGTTTCATTTAAAGAATAGGTTTAATTAGAAAATAACACCTGCTAAAGACCCCGATTTTGTTTTTAACACCTGTTAAAAAAAAAGTTTAATTATAACACCTCCAAAAATCCCAAAATTTTGGTTTCACCACCCACTAACAGATTTTTGGATGGAAACCGTTAGTGGGGCCACCATGTACACGTATCAGTTGTTAATTAGTTTAAAAAAAAATTAAAAAAAAAAAAAAAACCTAACCCCCTAATCGAGCCAGCCACCGCACCGGCACCACCTGCGGCCAGTCGCCTCTTCCCTTCCCCTTCCCAATTTCCGGCGCCAATCACCAATTTCCGACACCTCCCTTGCTTCCCCCACCCCAACCTAGCCCAGAAACCTTAGTCATCGGGAGCTTGGGACCGTTTTCGAAGGTGGGAAGGGAAGAGGTCGGTTTCTGGGTTGAGGGAAAGGAAGGGGAGCCGGTTTCAGTGGTGTGGGAAGGGAGGGGGCGCCGGTTTCGGCGGTGCGGGAAGGGAGGAGGTCCATTTAAGGGGGTTGCGTTGGGGAGGGGAACCGTACTTTGGCAGCTTTGTGAAGGATGATAGCGGTTTTCGAGGTGGGTTAAGGGTGGGGGAGCCGATTTCCGGTGTTAGAGGTGGTTCGGCGGCGAAAATCGATGGCTGGTGGTCGGTGGTTGGTGGTTGGTTGGTTATGGGGTAGGCAGGGGAGAAGGCCACCGTTTGTGGCTGGCCGCAGGTGGTGCCGGTGCGGTGGCTGGCTGAGTTAGGGGGTTAGGTTTTTTTTTTTTTTTTTTTAAATTTTTTTTAAACTAATTAACAACTGACACGTGTACATGGTGGCCCCACTAACGGTTTCCATCCAAAAATCTGTTAGTGGGTGGTGAAACCAAAATTTTGGGATTTTTGGAGGTGTTATAATTAAACTTTTTTTTTAACAGGTGTTAAAAACAAAATCGGGGTCTTTAGCAGGTGTTATTTTCTAATTTGGCCTAAAGAATATTATAATCATCAAATACATATTAATATCCAGAAAATTTACCTTATTTTTTTACAGAAATTTCAGTTAGCAGCGCTCAAAAATACTTGAAACAGTTACAGATCTAAAAGAATAAAATTTAAAATATACAAATTAACTATATTCCCCTTCTTCAATAGGAATTCGCTTTGGAAACTATCATAAGCTGAACTGAAGATAGATGGTGTAAAAAAGAATAACAAAGTACAGGATGGAGATTGAAGTTGTAATTCTGCAAATTATAGGGCATCCACTTTTCTGAGCCTCTGAAAGAGATCATCAAGGTACAAAGGATTTGGCCCTGATTAAATAGTAAGCTAATAAACTTAACTATAGAGTAGACTATAGTTAGTCTATGAAACTTTAATTTCACCCATAAAGAACACAAATAATGCCTCTCCATAATCCTTCTGTCTTATCATGAACCATAAAGCTGCTGCAGAGCCGCCTAATAAAGTTCTCAGGCCTTTCTCGATAATGCAAGTTTTAGGTTTTCTTTAGGTAAAGGGCCAAAGGTTACCAAAATTCAAAGGAGGACTTAAGCCAAAATCAAACGCCGCTCAAAATACCACATTTTCACTCCTGCTCTATATTCAGGTGATTCACATTGTATGGTTTTGACCCACCGAATCCAGACAGGATAGCAAACAACAACAAAGATTCGGAGATCCAAGCTCTAACTTCGTCAGAGCTTGACAATTGGACGTGAAATTGATGCCTAAGAGGTTTGGGAACTCAGCTATGCTGTCAGATACAATGCCCATTGCGGAGTATCAAGGACGCACCTTAGCTGATCATCCTGCAGTTAACTACAGCTATACAAAAGCCTCAATAAAGAAACTAAACCTTGAGATGGCAAGACCAAAGTCTACCCTCCCACTACCGTTGGCTTCCAAATAAGTGAATCATCATATTGCCAACAAAGCAATCATCTTCCACACTTCAACAATTAAGCTTTTGTAATCCTTCGTTTCAATGTTTTTACGTCGTGAGAATAACTTTGGTTGTATAAGGTTGAACCCAACCAATCCCAAACAAAACTAAGAACAAGTGCAAAAGATATAGAGCAGTACGCCTATATTTGAGACTATTACATTTTGGGAAGACATCACTTATAGTATGGATTATTTTGGGATAAAATGAATAGTTGGGATCATTAGGATGTGGAGTGACTGTAGTTGGGATCATTACATGCGAATTTTCCGTTCCATTCTCTCTCACTTCACCATCAAAAGAGCATAGATGACTTCATACTTATCGATCTTGCACTTCAAAATTCAAGAATAGAAAGAAATACCTCTTCAACTTATATAATCCTAGGTATGTCAATAAGGCTCTGTTTGATTCGACTTATATGGTCAGCTTATCTAATCGGAATAATTTATGCTATCTGGTAAAACATATTTTGTCTGGAATTGTCTTATTTGTTTGTGACATTGTCTGAAGAAATATTTATTTTGTCTGAAATTGTATTTCTGAATTTATTTTACCTAAAATAGCCAAAATAAGTTACACCAAACAGGCCCGAAAAAATAGGCTCTCTCCTACTGCCTATCAAGCTCTCAATTAACACAAAAATTAGAATCAGGCATCGTATATTAAACAAGCTTAGTCTTCCCCATATGCCTCAAATTTAATAAATTGATGCAAATGACAAAACAACTTCACTTTGCATAAAAGAGTGGCTCAATTCCTTCAGTTTGCATAAATGAGTGGCTCAATCCCTTTATCTTAGTAATTGTCCTTACCTAAAGCTCTCTTGAATAAGACATTCAACCTTGAAAATATCCTATGAACTATATTCAGCTACCATGTGATCTATTTGTCTTTGCCTCAATTATGACCAAACCTAGAAACTTCACTCTTTTCATTCATTCGAAGAACATAATATTTACATTGTCCGTCTATGTTCAATTACTTTTCTTTACAAACTTTCACCATCAAAAGAGCAAACCACTAAACCTTATTATATCTTCATCAATTCAACTAAGAGGTAAACTTCATATTCATCCCTTCAGCCATGTTATATAACAAAACATAATCTGTAATGTAGAAAAACTTGTCAGCAACTACGAAACATTGCATTATAATTCATTTATGCTATACCACTATTCAAACGTAGAGCAGCATTGCCTAGGAATTTATAATTTACATTCATACCATTCTATTTCATAATTACCGATTCGAAATCCATAATCATACTCAAACTCAAACTAAAAACCATCCCACCTCCTATTTCACTCAATTCCAAATAAACCCCAAATTTCATTTCATAATTAGTAACAATATAATCCAAACCAAAAAACAAATCATCATAATTCATCATACACTAGACATCATCATTTCATTCAATCACAAAATAACAGCATTATCCAAAAAAACACATTTCATCAATTTCAAATAAGAAAATTAACTAATCAGCTCAAATTACAAATTAAAATAACAAAAATCAAATTAGAACCTTGATAATAGCGTGTTCAGCTCCATCCTTAACAGCGGGATATCGGCGGCGAGCTTCGGCGGAAAGAGCGCGTAGATCTGATTCAAGGACAGCCATGAAAGCCATCTCGATCGCACCCTCGAAACTCGAAATGGGTGTGATTTTGAGGAGAGAGAAAATGGGTGGATCAATGGATTTCAAGAAGCTGGCATTGTTGATTGAAGAGAAGAAGAAGGTTTGATTGAGGAGAGAGGAAATATGAAGAGTTGCAGTGGCGTAGTAGAGTGATGATGATGGTGGTGCGATTCTAAGGACCTGCTCAATTGCTCATGTTTTTCTGGCTTTCTCTTTTTTTTTTTTTAAGGATCTCCTTCTTTCTCTCTTCTTGTTGATTTTGTTACTAATTTCTCTTTAATTTACAAAATGTCATAAGCAAATCAAGTGGCAATCATGTAGTTCAATTGAAAATTATATATGTAGTACAAAGTATTACTTGAATAAGACTTAGCAAACAATATTCCTTATCATCACTTTCTTTTAGATTCAGTGTATGTGGATGTCAACTAGCTTAGTTGGTTAAAGTTTTTAAAGCTACGCATTTGTAGCTCTTTTCACATCGAAATAAATCTAATTTTGATTTGTTTTGCAAGTAAATCGACAAAATTAACTTGATGGACATTCCATGGCTCAATATATAGACATTTGGTTCATATATTTGATTCATACCATCACATACTCTTAATTTACGTGGATGTTGACTAATTTAGCTAGTTAAAGTCATGGGGTGATATTTTGTGACTCTCTCTACACTAAAATAAACATGATTTTTATTTGTTTTGCAGTAAATCATGGAAATTAACTTTATGGACCACTAACAAGTGCTTAGATCAACTAATAAGGGAGTTGTTCTACCTTAACTAAGGCCTTGGAGAATATAGCATCACTTGTTGCGAGAATTTTCCCTCAATTGGAGTTTATCCAGCTCAAATACGAATTAGTTGGAGTCTAGTAGGCTCTGAATTACCGGGTACGTTTAAATTAAAAAAAAAAAAAAAAAAAACCTTTATGAACCTCGAAGTACTACATGGTTCATTTATCTAAATTAGAGAATTCTTGTTAATCAATAAACATACTTGTGTATAGTCGGTACTTGCATATATGACTTTTCAGTTACCTCTTATGAATTCGATCACACCATCAACTAATGGTATGACACATCACATATAAGAACAAAACATAACCTAAAGAAAGAGAAGGTCTATCTAAATCTACCTCTGGTTTTACATGCTAGCAACTTCAACACTGGTTTGAGTTATACTTGATCAGTAAGCTAAGTGGCCACTAACAAAAGTAGGCTAGAGCACCAATACAATTATTTTTCTATTGAAGCATGATGATACAATCTAAAGAGAAGGCTTTTTTAACTTCGTTGTATTATGCATAATTTAAGAAAAGTAAAAGAAGTTCAATGATACAAAATGCCGTTTCCTCCTCCATATTCCCTCCTACTTTGGTAGAGAACTAGAGATTTATCATCAAATATTCAAATATCTAGTAAGAAGCTTTATTATCAATATGAGCTGCAAATTCTAAAGGCATTATACATTGGATCAAGGAATTAACATCTTCTTTTTGGTGACTATTCACAAGAGTGAAAGTGGCAAATCAACCTCTTCATAATAAGTTAGAGCCTCCATTTCGTGCCTCTCCGAATCAAACAGTTCAGTAGATAGATAGCGCTCTCCAAAGCTAGGAATAAGCACCTGCAAAGCAAAAAGGAATATGAACATAATTTCCTGATATAAAATGTTGCCTTGGATAGAAATCAGTACACATTCTGATCAACATAAGGTGGCTGGGTTTTTGGAGTAAGGTAAGAGGAATAACCGAATGACAACCCATCCACGTTGTTCTTCAGGGGATTTCATGGTTACCTAAGAGTTAAAGAGGTAATTTTGAACTATTACTAGGAGTTGTTTGGAAGAGAAATTTCAGACGAGTGGACTCTTAAATCCAATGAATTGAAATATGGGGTAAACAATTCAATGGTAGTGTGGATATAGATTTAGAAGAATATTTGATTAGTAAGCGTATTTCCTGCTCTCTTCCAAATGGCATGCTAATGTGTGAACACGAAGAATTAGATCTTTCCCAACAACACAAAACTAGAATTAGTTGTAAATTTTGCATGCCAACTAGGTCTCCCACTTACAACAACCAATTTTCCAGCAAATTCAGGCTTTTTGGCTATTTTAATAGCAGCAGCAACAGCAGCTCCTGACGATATCCCAACCTGGTAAGTTTACCAAGTTAACATATAATGCATAAAAAACACCCATCAGTAAGATGCTATAGTAGGAAGAATATTAACTGAAGTGACCTTACCAGCAAACCTTCTTTCAGTGCAAGAAGCTTTGCAGTTTGAAAGGCTTCATCAGTTGATACCTATAAAATCAATTTAAAATGTTACGCAAGCTAATTACTCGTATCAATTAGCTTGATCTATATAAGTGATGACTATAGCATTGGAATTGAAAAATTGAGCTGGATCTAAGTGATGACTATGACAAAGTGAATACTAACACATTTTAAGACTGTGATACTGCATGTACTGTGTTCTGTGTTGTCTGTGTAAAGCATTGTAGTCTGAATATTCAATAGCTTGATTTCCAACAAAACTCTTTAAAAAGTTTCATCTCCCAGCGTTCATTTAATCAAATCTTTTTCCAAAAATACTCCGTAATAAGTTTCATTTCCCAAATGTTCCCCCACAATCTTTCCTTTCAACCAATTTTTGAAAGTTATCAACCTCCTCTTCTCCATTAATAATCCTTAATTTTATGCTATACAATATTTAATTATACTGAAAGGAAAATACACTATTTTGGAGCCTAATTAGTTATTTAAGCTAGTCAAGGCTCTGAAATGTTTGGATTAGCATCATCACTTTTTGATTAGCATCATTTCAAAAAAAATCTGAATCTGAAACAATTGGTCTGAGTTTGTGAAGGCAATCTATTACAAGAATTCGATTCAAGAAACGAAAATAAAGCAAGCTTCTAAACCTTACCATTACAACTTCCTCAATTATGTCAAAGTCCAATAATGGAGGGATGATACCAGTTCCAATTCCTTGAATATTGTGCTTGCCTATTGCATGTGAAGCATCGAGTCTACTTAGCAAAATAGAAAATTGCACAACAAGATTCACAGCTCCTCCATATTAGTTACTCGTAGATATATTGACTCAAAATCAAAAAAAAAAAAAAAAATGGCTGCAATAACCTAATCAACAACTTGTAAAAAGGTCTATGCTAAAAAAACAAGCTCAGCTATATTGCAGAAAATACTAAGCAATTGCTGGAGAGGGTGGGGCTTAACTGTGATAAGCGAAAGGAACAAAGTTGTAGAACATATCTTAGCAAACTGATGCTATAGTCTCATCAAGTAATAACATAACCCAAAGTCCCAGAAATAAACGACCAAAATCATAAACCGAAGTACACAATAAATATTACAGACTCACCAGCCTTTTCTCCATTTAGTACTGCACTTTCAGATGGCTCTACACCGTAGACCTAATAGTAAATCAACATTGTTAAATAGATGAGAGAAGTAGAAAAAAGGAGAAGAGGGGCTATGCAGCATTACAGCCAGTACAGGCAGAAGGAACAAACTGAAAATCCAAACCTTAATGGCAGAATTTTTCTCTTTAAGGAATCTTCCTGTCCCAGCAATGGTACCACCAGTCCCGATGCCTGAGACAAAGGCGTCCACTTCCCCTTCCGTGGCTCTCCAGATATCTGGCCCTGTGGTTTCATAATGAGTCTGCAAGCAAAAGAGAAAGGGAAGGAAAGCAATCAATCAAAGCCTTAATTCCATAAGTAGGGTCGGCTACAAGAAAGGGAAGGAACAATTAAAAAAAAAAAAAAAAAACCATTTGAGCTGTAGACTGTGCACTGAATTGAGTCCAGAGACAAAAAACAGCATACCTTTGGATTTCCAGGGTTTTCAAACTGATTAATGTAATACCCGCCTGGTGTTTTTTCCAGTAATTCTCTGGCTTTAATCACAAAGTCAGGTATGCTGTTTGTTGGACCCAAGAGGTGCAACTCCGCTCCCAAAGCTTAAAGAAGTACTCTCCTCTCAAGACTCACGTACGAAGGCATTACAGTGATTAGCTTATAGCCCTTAGCGAAAGCAATAAACGCCAATCCAATGCTAGTATTACCACTTGTGATTTCTATGAGAACGGTCTTTAGACATCAGGGGAAAAAAAAAAACTGTACTTAGCAACAACATTTTGTCATTTGAACTAAAATCCTAGAAGATTCACTTCTATAGACTGAGTACACGCAGGAAAGTGGTTAAAGAAGTAAATTGATGAAAAAAAGTATATGAAGACACACCTTCTCAGGAGAAATCAAGCCTTTTTCTTCAGCATCCTTGATCAAGCCTTTTTCTCAGGAGAAATCAAGCCTTTTGTTTTTGTTTTTGGTTGGAAGAAATATAGGTCAATTTGCATTTGACTTTGTACAAATTCATGAATCATGGGGTGAATCACCTGTCTTTACACTGGAGTATGGTTCCATCATCTCGAGCTTGGCTGCAATGCGTGCAACACAGCCATCTACAATATGATTAAGATAAACCATAGGTGTGTTTCCCACCAGCTGCAAGTTGAAAAAAGTAGAAACATAAGAAATTCTCGTGCAAAACTTTCCTGTAATGATTATTTGTAAATCAGCCACAAGATTAGCTAGCTTGTTGAAATTTATAAAATAGTCGACAAATAACAATCAAACGACTTACTTCAGTCACATCTTTTGCAATGCTGCACTCCCCTTCCATGTATTCAAATTCAAACACGAAACTGCAGAAATTTATAACTGTAAACAGAACAAACATCAAATACTACTACAGATTGGATTCCACCTCTACATTACTCCATCCGATTACAATGTACTTCGTATACAGAAATGCCTCTCATAGTATACCAGCAAGATCATTTGCATCAGACCTTACAGAAATATAGTTGAACTCCTTGCCAAGCTATCATTAAATGAAAACAGGAAACAATCCTTTGTTCAATCAGGCAATAAGATGGCGCTATTGAAATGCTAAACCAAACAATCGCTCATATCAACTCACTACAACAGCACCATTATAGACTTATGAAAAACCATCAAGAACAAGTAAACTGAATGAGGCAGTTTCCATTGGGCAAGGAGTGTGAACTAGATACTTCCTTCGTCCATCACATATACTAATGTAGGATGTCCGAATAAATTGTCACCTATCTTAGAATAGTAATGGTTTATAATTGAACTTTCCATTATAGCCCTTACTTAGAATATTGATATAAATCAGCAACCATAACTTATTGTCATCATGTCTTAACCTTAACTACGAGGGGTTTGGACAAGGAGGATGCCCCAGTTTCTCGTAGTGAGAAACAAAATTTGTTCTCACATGGCATTTTCGTAAATAAACCAACAATTTTATTCAATTTCATTCAATTGTCAATGCCCTTATGAGAAACAAATTTCGTTTCTCAATATAAGAAACAGGAATTT